CCAGGGGCTGAGGAGGTAGGGGGCAGGGGCGGGGGGCTGTGCTATACAGAGATATCGATCAAATTGTACAAATTTCCAGTTTTAAGGTTAATAAATTCTGGGAACCTAACATACAACATGGCTATTATTGCTAATTATTCTGTGTTATATAGATGACTGTTACCAAGAAGTAAATCTTAAATGTTCTCAACACACAAAAACAGTAGTGATTATGTGGCTGGATGGAGGTTTTGGTTAATGCTATGGTGGTAATCATTTTGCAATATATAAATGTCTCAAGCAATACATTGTGAAACCAAGGCTAATCATCAGTTAAACCCATTAAATTATAACTTTCTTAATAAATAATAACTGTAACCTGGCTTCACTGACCAAGCTCACTGCAATTGTTTTTACAAAAACTTGTGTGTCTTCCAAGCATTATGTATTATTGTTTTCCCAAGTTGTTTTTCAGGAACTTGGAGTCAGGTGTTGCCCAGCTCAAGCCAGCTAAGACTGGTTGGGATCACCCACCCTCCAAATGGGCATGTGTAAATGTCATTACCGCTTGACATCACAGGGCCAAAAACTCCACTCTCAGAACATGCTAAAGCCACTGTCTTTTGAACATGTGTCCCATGAAAAAGCATGTAGCTTAGTTGAACCTGCACAGAGTGACAATCTTGTGTCTCGTCTCCAGTCACCTTTCCCCACACTCCCCATGCCTCAGACCATCGCCCCCCTGCCCCCACACCCCACCCCTCACACTTCTTTATCCTATAAATGCCTATAAAAACAGAAAAGGCCGATGCCTTGGCCCTACCCCATATTGATCAAATCAAAACCCCCAGGGGCGGGCCCAAGCCTCAACATTTTTTCAGATCTCACTGGATGATTCTGAAGTACAATCAGAATGGAGAAACATTTCTTCAGGAGACAAGAAATGAAGCAGGGAAGAGAGAATAAGAGAAGTGGAGCCTGTAAGAAAATGTCAAAAATTCCCAAGCAAGGAATTCCTAAGCAGTTACACGGTTTCAGACAAGCCTGTGTTCCTTGATCCTGACACTGGAGAGAGAGAAAGTGAGAGAGAGAGAGAGAAAAGCTCTTCCATAGCTCGAGGCTGTATTCCCACCCCAAGGGCATCTTGTAAGTAGGGCTCCTTGCTGCACACAACCAAGCAAAGAATGGAGTGGGCTCTGCTACATCCACCATGGTTTTCAGGACAGTCTTCATTCCCAATAAGCCTCATTCTTCCAGGCACTCCTGACAGCCCCAGGTTACTAATAAACTGTCTTTCCTTTGCTTTAAAAGTATTATGAGAACTTTTTTTTTTAGTTGGAGTATAGTTGCTCTACCACATTTCGCCAGCCTCTGCTGTACAATGAAGTGAGTCAGCGGTAAGTGGACATATGCCCCTCCCTCTTGGGTCTCCCTCCCGCCCCGTTCCATCCCATCTCTCCAGGTCATCACAGAGCTGGGCTCCCTGTGATGTCCAGCAGGTTCCCACGAGCTGTGTGCTTTACACACGGCGGTGCACAGACACCAGTCACAATCTCCTGGCTTATTTCCACCCCCCTGCCCCACCCTGTGTCCACACATCGATTCCCTACATCTGCCTCTCTATTCTTGCCCTGCAAACAGGTTCATCTGTACCATTTTCCTAGGTTCCACATAATTTCCTGAGGCACCCAGAACCATCCAGCCCTTCCCCACTGATTTGTGCCAGGAGTGTCACCCGCAGAGCCCAGCTGCCAAGAGACTAGATTAAAACCTAAGATAGTGAAGGAAAAAAAAAAACACATAAAGATTTATTCTTTGCTTTTCAGATGTTTTCAGTTATTTTAAACATCCAACTGTGAGGATGGGTACAAAGTACAGGAGACGGGAAGCTTCCGGTTTGAAGACAGAAGGCAGGACCCAAGTGCAGGAAGACAGGGCAATGTCTTTGAGTTTAACTTCTGCCTTCAAAATCCCTTGGCTCCTACAGTTCTATCGGGCTTCCCAGGTGGCGCTAGTGGTAAGGAAATCGCCTGCCAATGCTGGAGACATAATAGACTTGGGGTCGATCCCTCGGTCAGGAAGGTCCTCTCAAGGAGGGCAGGGCAACCTACTCCAATATTCTTGCCTGGGAAATCCCACGAGCAGAGGAGCCTGGCAGGCTAGGGCTACAGTTCATGGGGTCACAAAGAGTCGGACGCAACCGAAGCAACTTAGCACGAAAGTCTATAATTATAAAAAATTCTGAAACATTCTGACAGGCTCTATGACCTTTTTTTTCTTAAGAATTTTTTTTTAGCTCCTTAACCAGGGGTTGAATCCTCATCCCATGCGTGGGAAAGTGAAGTCTTAACCACAGGATGCCAAGAAGTCCCTAAGGCTCTAGGATCTGGACCAGCAGAAAAAGTCAGTCTCCCAACCAAACTGAAAAAGCCTACTTAGAGTTCAAGCAAACTCATTTAATTAAATTGTGTAAAATGGGTGTCTTGATGGGTTCACCATCTGCTACTGCTTCTAAGTCACTTCAGTCATGTCCGACTCTGTGTGATCCCATAGACAGCAGCCCATCAGGCTCCCCCGTCCCTGAGATTCTCCAGGCAAGAACACTGGAGTGGGTTGCCATTTCCTTCTCCAATGTGAAAGTGAGAAGTGAAAGTGAAGTCGCTCAGTCGTGTCCGACTCTTAGCGACCCCATGGACCGCAGCCTACCAGGCTCCTCCATCCATGGGATTTTCTTTAATCTCAGCCAGTCAGAATCAACAAAGGGCAAGGTGGTGCAGGGGGAAGCCCCAGCAAAGGTCACACGGAGGTGAGAAGCTGCTCAGGCTGGGACTGGAATTACCCACACACTTAAGCCGCCTATTAAAAGCCCAAGTCCCAGGATGACTGCACCATGCCTAGCCTCACCCCAGGGCATTTGTGGCAAGGGGAGGGGAGAGCCTAGTTATGCGGTGGCAACACCACATAATAAAAAATAAGCTTCCCCAGCTGGGGGCATCCAGGGGTTTGGAAAAAACTGCGTTGGTTCAAAGCTTCCCAGCCTGCCCTGGGCTATACTCTCAGGAGGGGCTCAGAACACTGACGTGGACCTGATGCTGTACCTGGGGGTGGGTGACAGTGGGGAGGGGTCCACTGGTGGGCCTGCCAGAAAACTTGCTGGTCTGAAGCTGGGCCTCGGGGACTTGCCTTCAGATCTGCCCCAGAGGTGCTGTGGCTCCTTGGTTGGCACTGGGATGTTGCCCCTTCAGCCTTCACCTTACCATGTGTTAGAGGTCATGATCTGAGCTCTAGTTCTTCCTGGTCATGCTGTTGTCAACGTGCCACTGGCCCTAGGCAAGACAGAGCCACACTCACTGTGTCCAGAACCCCAGCCTGGGACATTGTTCCCCTCTCACTGCCAGGACCCCGTCTCCCATTCTCTCATTGCTCCATCAGTGGCTCCACCTTCACGTTCTGGCCCAGCCCACATCCAACACACCTCTCCAACTCCGATGACCCAGCCAGAGTAACCTGTGCGGTTTTAGAGCTCCCACAAGACATCTGCGCATCTGGAGCTGTGTTCTTCATCCGGTCCTTTAAGTTTCAAGGGTGAGGGCTCCTCTGGTGGCTCAGTGGTAAAGAATCTACCTGCCAATGCAGGAGACATGGATTTGATCCCTGATCCAGGAAGATCCCACATAGCGAATGACAACAAAACCTGTGTGCCACCTACTGAGCCCATGCTCTAGAGCCCACGTGCCACAACTACTGAAGTCTGCATGCCCTAGGGCCCGTACTCCACAACAAGAGAAGTCGCTGCAATGAGAAGCCCATGCACCACAACTAGAGAGTAGCCCTTGCTTGCCGAAACTGGAGAAAACCCTGTGAACCAACAAAGACCAAGCACAGCCAAAAAATAAATAAGTGAATAAAGTTTTAAAAAAGTTTCAAGAGTAAACATAATCTAGTCCTCTTCAGAAACTAGCCAGAAAGTCACCTTCCAGAGAAGGCTTTTAGTAATGCCAATGTCAGTATCGAACTCTCCTTGCCTTTAGATCCACTGGAAGGTTCCCATAGGACCAGCAGATGCTGCACTGAAGATATTGTAAAGCAGAAGCAGGATGCTCCCAGAGATGTTTGTGTTCACCCCACATCAGGTTTATGACAGATGGGCTGGATTTGAGTGACCAACTCAGGGTCTCTGGGTGCAGCAGGGCTTCTCCAGCTATTCACAGACAGGAGCTATGCTGCAACACGGTCTGCCACATGGGGGGTCTGTGCTACACTTTTTCTCCCTAGTTCTTTGTCTCAGTAGCATCAGCAACTGGTTTTGCTGTTGTCATGTTTTGTTTTCTTTCTAGAATTCTTTGTGTGTCAGTCAGTTCAGTTGCTCAGTCATGTCCAGCTCTTTGCAACCCCATGGACTGCAGCACGCCCTGCTTCCCTGTCCATCACCAACTCCCAGAGCTTGCTCAAAATCACGTCCATTGAGTCCGTGATGCCATCCAACCATCTCATCTTCTGTTGTCCCCTTCTCTTCCTGCCTTCAATCTTTCCCTGTACAATACTATATTTTGACTTCTCTACACATTACAGTGAATTTACCACCAAAGGTTTTCGTCACCATACAATTAATCCTCTTTCCCCTTTTTGCCCATCCCTGCTATGACCCTTCTTCTATGGTAACTACTACTCTGTTTTCTGTATCTATTTGCTTCTGTTTTGCTTGTTTTTTTTTTTTTTTGCTTTTGTTCTTTCATATTCCACAGATGAGTGACATCTTAAGGTATTTGTCTTTCTCCACTTGAGCAGGATCTCATCTTTTTTACGGTTAGTATTACAGTATGTGTGTGTGGGGGTGGGTGTGCAGGTGCACACATATATGTACACGTGTGGGCAGCACGTGTGTTGCATCATCTGTATCCTTTCACCCAAAATCGGGCACTTAGGTTGTTACCATATCGTGCTCTGTTTTCTTTGTCGCAAACCTAGCTACTGAAAAATTCTCTGAGGTAAGAAAAAAATACAAGATAATAAAACCTTAGAAAAATAAACAATTCTTTTATTTCTACTTCAAAATATACCATATCCATCTGGAACTCTAAGGGAAAATAGACCAGGAGATCATTCCATCATAAAAAATAAAATAAGATAAAAATAATGGTTGCCCATTCCAGATCCACCTTTAATCCAGAAGAAAGAGGTGTGAGCTGCCAGTTGTCCTGCTGTCAGATGCCTTCCCCGTGGCGGTGACCTCTTGAGCTGCCTCACGGGGATTCTGTGTCTAAGAGCTCCTGGAGCGTTTTGAGGACTTGCTTTGGCTCGCCGGCAGCCAAGTCCTGCAGCCGGGAGCCCATTTGCTCCTGGAGGCTCCTGCACAGCCGGCAGACGGCCGTGCGGACGTTCCCGCTGTGCCCGGGCAGGACGCCGTTCCCCGTCATGCTGCTCAGAAAGTGCCAGAGGACGGGAAGGACGTGGCGCTCCACGGCCTGAGGCTTCCGGGGGTAAACCGAGGCCACCAGCTCTGTCACACAGAAAAGAGGGACAGTTACTTGAGTCAGACACTCTCTCCCCCTCTCACTGCCTTCCCTTGGAAGGGGACACCAACTCTGTCCTCCAAAAGGCAGGCAATGCAGGGGTTCGACGGCCTGGGTCATTAGACACATGACCTAGGGCTCACAACTTGCTTCAGGACCCATGGAAATATTTTGAACTCTTTCAAAATAAGAAGGAAAAAAATTATGAAGATGTCTAACCTGCTTTATATTTGAGTTCATATCAACCAATCATAAAATATAATTTTAAACTTTTGGTTTGTTTGTTTATGGAGGAAGGGGTATGCAAAGGCAAAAGTGCTCAGAGACTGTGACAGAGTAATTGGTCCCTGCAGCCCAGGGCAAAGGGAAGAGGCAGGCACATCTGGACGGCAATCCTCCCTCTGCTATTTACTAGCTGTGTGAGCTTGAGAAAGCCACCCAACCTGTCTGAGCCTATCCCCTAACCTGTAAAGTGAGGAAAAGAATTCTGAACCAAAGTCTTGAGATTGTTAGATAATAGATGCAGGTGAAGTGCCTGTGCAGGTACGCACGTGACAGAGTAGTTAGCCCTAGAAGTGCTTTAATCTGCATTACCACCTAGGAGAACTCACACAGAGAAAACTTGTTCTAGGGAGAAAGATCAGGATTCTCTCAAATGAAGCATTCTGGAAAATAAAACTGCCAGCAGGAGATAAGACCATCATGGCCTCCCTGGTGTCTCAATGCCAAACCTCATGACAAGCCCAGTAGTAACACAGGAGGCACAAACATACTTTGTAAACCATTAAGCTCTGCATGGATCCTCATTCAGAGTCATTCATTCCAGTGATGAACCCTCCAAATCCAGTTACCCCAGGTCCCCCACCTTCTCTAAACCCTGGAAAACTCAGAGACATGCTAAAACCTGCCAGCAAGCCCCCCATCACACAGAAAATGCCAGGGCTGCCCCCAGTGTCAAGGCCATGTCAAGGGGTACCCCACACCACTTCAGACAGGTTGCTACAGCCCTCAGCTTTGGTCGCATCAACCAAAGTGCGTTCATGCTAACAATGATTGCTTGACAATCAGCACACTCCGCGTGTCATTCTGCCAAAGGATAAGTGCTGGTGAAGGCAAACACTGCTGAGAAAAGCACTTGATTTATTTATGGGCAAAGAAACCGGAAGGCTTCCTGAGCTGAGACACTAGCACCGCCTGAGCCTGAGCCTGGGGCTCAGAGGTTTCTATCGTGATTCCGTTTCTCTCTCACCTGAGAGACAGGACAGCTGTCTGTTTCACAGAGGAGGAAACCAACACTCGGGGGTCAAGAGCTGGCCCAAGGCCCCACAGCTAACAAGGGCAGAGGGCAGAAGTCAAGCCCGCCTTGACTCCAAAGTCCAACCTCTTCCCATTCCTCGCTGCCCCAGATCTCCAGGAGTACCACGTTTCAGAGGCTGGTCTGGAATTTTATTTTTTAGAGAAACCCCCAATTTGTCCTTCCTTCATCCACTCAACTTCATCCAATCCCCCAGGATACTTTGCAGCTTGTGCCCCTCTGATTTCAGAGCCAGCCTGGGACAGTGGGGAACAGAGAGAATGGCCTGGCCCCCACTCAGCCCAGCCTGAGGCTTTCCTTGTGCCATCTCCTGTGGACTGTGTATCCTGACTTTCCGGCCATACCCTCAGGGTTCCTGCACCCCACATTGGGGGCCTCTTGGGGCACGCCCAGTAACACACAGCCCTCCAAAGTCAAGGAGGTCCTCATTCCTGGGAAGGCAGGACTGCACCCAGGGAGCCAACTCAGCCACGTTGATGTCAACATGGGAACCAAGAAGTGAAAGTTACATTCCCTGTGCTGGAAACAGGCTGAGAAGGGAGGGCACAGTTACCCGTGAAGCCACCTGGTCAGCCCCAAGGGCGGTGGGAGGGCAGGAGGAGCAAGGGGAGATGGGAGGAGCAAGGGGAGATGGGAGGAGCAAGTGGTGGGGGGAGGAACAAGGGAGGGGAGGAGCTAGGGGAAATGGGAGGAGCAAGTGGTGGGGAGGAACAAAGGAGGGGAGGAGCTAGGGAAAATGGGAGGAGCAAGTGGTGGGGGAGGAACAAGGGAGGGGAGGAGCTAGGGGAGGGGAAGGGGGAAGGGACCAGGGAGGAGCAAGGGGGAGGAGTCGGGGGCCCGCCAGAGGGAAGGGAAGGAAAACCAATCATCCGATTAAGCCCCTATACTAGACAGCATATTAAACAGCAGAGACATCACTTTGCCGACAGAGGTCCGTATAGTCAAAGCTATAGTTTTTCCAGTGGTCATGCATGGATGTGAGTGTCATGCTGGAGAAGGCTCTTGAGAGACCCTTGGACAGCAAGGAGGTCAAACCAGTCAAGCCTAAAGGAAATCAACCCTGAATATTCATTGGAAGGACTGATGCTAAAGCTGAAGCTCCAATACTTTGGCCCCCTGATGTGAAGAACTGACTCACTGGAAAAGACCCTTATGCTGGGAAAGATTGAAGGCAGGAGGAGAAGGGGATGACAGAGGACAAGATGGTTGGATGGTATCACTGACCCAATGGACATGAGTTTGAGCAAACTCCAGGAAATAAGGAAGGGCAGGGAACCCTGGCGTGCTGCAGTTCATGGGGTCACAAAGAGTCAGACACGACTGAACTACTGAACAACAACAAATAACTCAAAGGTTTCCTAAATCTCCACTGAATCTCTCCTGAGAGCATAGAGGTGAAAACTGTCGGGATCAACCCAGTGTATAGCGTATTTCCTACAAAAACTATCCCAGGAGCTGGGCCCAGGCAGGGCTCCCTGACCCCACCAAAGGGTGAAGGGCTCACCTCCCCCTAACCTGTCACACCTCACCCACTCCTCCTCCACTGATGCCTCTCCCCTGAACTCTCTCCCCCAGCAGTGAAAGGCCTACACCCTGGCCCCAGAAAGCTCACTTCCACTCTCAATCCACATTCACTTGCCTGAGGGAAGCTGGGTGCCCCCCTAGCTAACAGCCCCAGCATCATGAGGAAAATGCCATTAAAGTCCAGCTTAAAAGACAGCTGAAGTAATTAGCAGAAGATTTACTCCCCTGGTAAGCTGTGCTATTATTAGTCCATGCCTTGTGACAATTGAAATTTTCTTCCCTGTTCCTGACTGACATGGAGTTAATAGAAGAGCTATGTAGAAACTCTTGTTTTTGAGCTCTCTTGGAAACAGATGGGTAATATTTACAGTAAATGGATACCCACTCACCTCTGGGGCCCATAAAGTACCTGTATAATCAGAGAATGCTGATTTTGAGTAACAGAAAAAGGTTCATTGTCTGATACCCAAGGTGTTACATGACCCCATTCTCACTTCAGGGCACCCTAACCTGACCCTGAAGCTGCATCGTAGCCCCCAGCCCGACCTCGCCCAGGCCATCTGCTTGAAGGAGGCCTGGCATCTGGACCAGAAGTAAGGGGCCACTCCAGGGGCCCTGGGAGGATTGAACCAGGGTGCAGAGGCAAGACGAGGAGCAAGAGATGAGGGTGGGCAGAGGAGCAGGAATGATGCCCTCAGGCAGGCAACACACACTGAGCACCCCTGGAATTATTTTTTAAAAGCAGATTATTGGAACTTCCCTGGCGGTCCAGGGACTAAGACTCCATGCTCCCAAGGCAGGGGGGCCAGGCTCAATCTCTGGTCAGGGAACTAGATCCCACATGCCACAACTACAGATCCTGCATGCCGCAACAAAAAAAGAAAAAATCCTGCCTGTCACAGGAAGATCGAAGAACCTTCGTGCCCCAGCTAAGACCCAGCATAGCCCAGTAAATAATACATTTTTTTAAGCAAGCAGCTTATCACATTCTTTAAATGGTCTGTAGGATTATTTGATGATTTTTTTGTCTAAGATAAGTGGGTGGTTCAACTACATGCCAGGAGAGAAGAAGAGAGATGGGCTGGAAGGCTGTGTGCTCACCGGACAGACGTTCTGTGACATCAAGCACAGCGCGGCCACTCAGGAAGCGCACTCGTCCTGCAAACACTTGTAGAAGGCCAAGGTTGTCTGGAAGAGAAGGACAGTGTCAGCGGTCATGATGCCGTGGCCTGAGAAGAGGCACCAGTTGTTCAGGGCAAGGTACCCGCCGCACCTTCATAAGGAAGAGCCCCTTAGGGAAGCTGGATTAATTTTTCCAGGTTACAATGGTGCCTGGAAAAATAGTGAATGTACATAGAGTGTTTGAGGAACAGTGAGTGGCCTATGACAGCTATACTGGTGCCCACATAAGCCCCATTTACTCCCAGCAGATCTGGTTCATATTGTCTATGTTTCTTCAAAACTGCTGTGAGCTTTAGAGCAAAATAGGTAGGTAGATAGGTAGATAGATAGACAGATACAGATGACTGATGCTAGATGCATGATTGGTAAATGAGAGAGAGAGCAACATAACTAAATAATTGAGAGGTAGGTAGACAGATATGTATTATAGATGATAGATATAGATAATAGGTGGATGACAAAGCATATGATATATATAGATGATATTAATAAATAACAGATAGATGAATGATATATAGAGAAAGATGGATGAATGGATACAGATGTGGATATATAGTTTTAGGGGAAACTGAGGCACTGGGCCATAAGCATAACTAGGATCAGAATTCAGAAATCATGTATCTCCTCAAAGCCCAAACTTGGGCTCTAACCAATAGAATATGCCCATAGCCAGAGAGTCAGTTATTTCCACACTGAACATTTACTGAGATCCACTACATAACAGGCATGGAACTAAGAACTAAATGAAACATGGTCCTCCTTCTGCTCCTGTTTCCCTTCAAGAGACTCCTTTGTCAAAGAGATGAACACTTGATCATGAACTCTTACAGAGAGTGGGAGGCTCCATGCTCATGTGAGCAAGAGCCTGGGGGGTTCTGGAGCTACAGTGACCAACATGTCTCCATCTGCCCAGAACCTTCCCCATTTTAGCACTGAAAGCCCCGCATCCCTGGGAAACCATGATGGTTGGTCACCCTATCTGGAGCAGAAGCCCTGGCTGGTTCCGGTAGGATCAGAGGAGAGAATGTGCAGGTTGGGGTTGGTGGGGGGCGGGCACAAATGATCTTTCGGTAGTTTATTTATAACCTTCCTGCGCCCCTATACTCAGCACTCCAGTCATACCCATGGAGGAAGCCTGGGGCCAGAGTGCTTCTCACTTTTAAAGGAGTGTTTATTAGAGATGGACCACTAATGATAAAGCCCCAGCAAATGGGCTGGGGGATGTTCTGGGGATAAAGAGACTCACTGACCTTCTTTGATTGTACTTCTAAAGTTAACTCCAGCCAGATCCCACAGCTACTGATTTCAGAAGCCGTTCCCTCTTCCCCATTCTAGCTGACACCTCCTTTCCCAAACTACTACACTTGAAGTCCTGTATCCTTCATCAAAGATCTGCAAGATGAAGCAAGTGGCCCTTTACCTGAGAAAGGGGTGCTAACCCAGACAATACACAAGGCAGGAACGGACTCCTCTTATTCCTGGATTGCCCCCCCCCCCCCGCCCCAAGATCTGAGGAGGTGTCCAGCACACACGGCTCCCAATATCTGCAATCACTGCAGGCACAGCAGAATTCCATGGGAGGCGAGCAAGAGCCAAAATGCATTCTTCAGGGATGTGGCTCTGGGAGGTGAGGTGCACCCAGCAAGGGTGTCCTATTTCAGGAGCTGACCATCTCAAGGCCAGATTTCTCTCCAGGAGACAGAGATTAGCAACCTGCCTAAGGAAGTTTTTCCAGGCATGTGCCACCTTCTCTGAGCTCCTTCCATGCCTCAGCACAGAGCCTCAGCATCCCCAGAGATGGGCAATCAAAGCTTTGTTTTTCCCTTCAGGCAGCCATTCTAGCTAAGAGCTAACTTATGTTTCCCTTGCTTCCCTGCTGAGACCTGTAAGAAACACAGAGGAGAAAATATATACATGTACATCCTGTGCATCTCTGCAACTTGCAAAAGTTCCAGAGTCTAAAATAATTTGTTCAGGGAGACAAAAGAGATAGCAGGTTCTAGAACATTTCAGTTAGCAAGAAGTGGTCTCAGGATTTCCCGGTAAAGCTATAAATGTGTAAGAATAGATTTTTATATCAACATCACCTGCATTATTGCTTCCAGGTGCTTCTGGTTGTCCCCCCACCCATGGCTAATGATAGCCATGAGCTCACCTCTGGGAACAAGGACTTCTCCCTCTTGCTCTCCCCCATCAACACTCAGTCCAGAACGTTCTCTGGCTGCCGCTGGACCTCCCTACTCCCAGCCACTGACATGACCTCCCGGAGCCTAAGAGAAGTGGAGATCTTGGGGAATACTTGAAAATGCACAGCCAGTGGATATCTGTGCCAGCTCATGCTCCCATGGTGCCTGATACACAAGATGCCCAATAAATGCTATGGACAGCAAGGCAATGCTAAACCAGACACACTAGGTTGGCCTAAACTGGTCTATGCACCCCAGATACCACCCCAAGTAGCTGCCTTTCTGCCTCTGACTAATTCCATAGTGACAGCTCACCTTTTCGGTCACTCCCAGGTTTACTGGGAGTCAGTAAAGGACCGTGGCTGAGGGGGTAAACTGGGTCCAGATCACCTGGCTCTGAACCCTGGCCCTTCCGTGTTTCACTGTGAGATACTGGACAAGTCACCCTCTCTAAACCTCAGTTTACCATCTATAAAACGGGGATGATATTAGTACTTTCCACACAGAGCTACTTAGGATATGCAAATATAAGTTATTGTTGCTACGATTACTATGATTACCCTAAAATACTCTGAAAGCCCAGCAACTTTCATGAACCTCAGCAACCTTAATTGAATCCTCTTCAATTAAGAGGCTGGAATCTAACTTTCAAAAACTTAAAAATCCATGCTCAATTAGCCTAACCCAGGGTTTTCATAGGCTCCTTTTACGTACCACAAGAAGCCACACTGGCCTTGGTGCTGCCCACACAAAGGGGCAAGCAAAGCCTTCAGTATAGAGAAAGTAGCCATGGGCTGGCAAGCCAGTCATCTTGGCCTCCCTGAGCCTAGTCTCCCCTCTCCACAATGGGCTGAGGTCTAGCAGGCCTCACACCTGTCCCATTCAAGATGATTCCAAGGCTACCAGGCCATGTCATCCCCAGGCTACTGGGAAGCCAGAGAAGAGCTTTTAAGAAAGCATTAAAAAAACATGGTATCACAGACAGTGGCAGCAAAGACACTGGAGTCAAACTGGGCTCCCAACAATAAGCACAAGACTCAGTAAGTTATGACTCCCCAGGTGGCTCAGTGGTAAAGAATCTGCCTGCCAAACAGGAGATGTGGGTTCAATCCCTGGGTTGAGAAGATCCCCTGGAAAAGGAAATGGCAACCCACTCCAGCATTCCTGCCTGGAAAATTCCATGGACAGAGGAGCTTGGGGGGCTACAGTCCATGGACTTGCAAAGAGTCAGACACAATTTAGTGACTAAATCACCACCACTACCAGTAAGTTATGTCACACAGCTGAATTCTCTGTGGCCACTAAATCTACATCTGTTCATTGCAGGAAAACTGGGAATGATCCACTAAAACAGAAAAATACAAGCTATGACATAGCACATGATGGAGCTGTTGAGAGTGACTCAGGTGCATAATTATATGTAAATACTCATGCTCTGCTTTTTTAAAAACAGGATGCAAATTTCAATGTGTAATATTATCATGACACCGTACACAAATATACACAGAAAAAAATACCTAACATGAAAAATGCTAACTGTCAGCAATGGTTTCTTTAAGGAGTCCAGACTGTAAGTTTTTTCCTTCTAAATGCTTCCATTTTTCTTTTGCTCAATAATTAATAAGTATGACTTTTACAGAGGTGGAAAGTAAACTTTATATTTTTAATAAAGCTAACTGGAAAGACTACTTAACAGCGTGGGAAATTGAGTGGTGTTAAGTGAAAGGAGCAAAGTCAAAATTATATTTACATTATTATTAATATTATGAAATTTGTATACATGCAGACAAAAAAACTGAAGATAAGAGAGACATTTTTAAGCAGTGGGTATATCAGAGGGACAGCCTGGATGAATTTTATGTTTCATTAACAATACAATGTTGGTCATATGATTTGTATAAAGTAATGAATTTAAAATCAGAGCAAAAGAGCAAAAGTAGATCTGATGCGGCCCATTGCTGAGCTTATCTGCTCCCTGCATCAATGGCCAGGGGCTGCACTAAACAGTTTCTTTGGAGCTCAGTCTGACCAGGAGCCAGGTGAACTGTCAGCAGCCTAATGTTTTAATTAATGAAGTTTCTTCTGTAACTAGCTTCCTTGGTGGCTCAGACAGTAAAGCGTCTGCCTGCAATGCAGGAGACCCAGGTTCAATCCCTGGGTCGGGAAGATCTCCTGGAGAAGGAAATGGCAACCCACTCCAGTATTCTTGCCTGGAAAATCCCATGGACAGAGGAGCCTGGTAGGCTCTAGTCCATGGGGTCTCAAAGAGTTGGACACATGACTGAGCGACTTCACTCACTCACTTCTGTAACTATCCCAGTAACAGAGCCTAAAGACAGAGCTAGCCAGTCTTTGCTCAGGAAGCACCTTGATCCCTGAAATAACTCTCTTGAAATCTTGGTGCTGAGGAGAAGAGATGACGCTCCAGGTTCAGCCCCGGAGACGCCCTTAGGCAGGCAGTGACCAAGCGCAGAGGACAGGGAACAAGGCTCCCGACATATCTCCTTTTTCACTGTCCCCCAAAACGAACATGGGCAGAAATCCCACCTGCTGTGTCAGCCAGCACACCACTGGCCCACTCACCCCAGGGAAAAGTGAGATGGAAGAGATGTGGCGTCTGATGCCCAGACTACATCATCCGATTCTAGAAACAAGAGGTCGCCTAAAAAGGCCAGTCTCCCAGTTTGGCTGTGCCAACTGGACTTTATGCCAGAAGGGAGCCTGCCCCGGCTGTGTTTTTGACCCCCTTGAGCCCCACTGAGTAGGAAGGAAACAGGCAGTAACATGCTGTAACTTCCCATACAATTATCTCATAGCGTTTCACAGCTCCTCTCCAGCCTGGAGCCCAGAGTCCCTCATGGGGCATGAAGAAGCCAGCCTGGGAGAAAGCTCCTGCTCAAAGGACCCCACGCCACTACCAGGAGGGGTCTCTGGGGGCTAAGGGTCAACTAGAGCTGTCGGGCTCAGCCTGGGTGATTCGGGAAAGAGGATGTACACCTCCTCTCCTGTCACACCTGCCGCAGTCTCTACATCCACCACCCAGTCCCCCAGGACACTGGGAAGTTTTGTTTCTTGCATCCCTTATTTCCTCTGCAGGGCAGGCCTAGACCATTCCAGGCAGAAGAGGACTATTCTTTGGGAAAGCTTGGCAACTGAATCCTACCAGTTCTGACCTTCACGGATTGAGAAGTCAGCTCATTACTTCACAGTTAAGAACACTTCCAAAACCAAGCACTGCTGGTTAGGCTGGGAGGGTGTGGCTCAAATGACCAGGAACCGAGACCCTGGGCTTGACCCTTGGGGAGCCACAGGAGCCTTGTGCCAGGGGGTCAGTGGGCTCCATCCATCCCTTTGAAGCCAACTCCATTCCATTCCAGCCTGGCACCGACCTAAAGATTAGAGAGGAGGGTAGGGCCCCCCTCCCCTGCCTCCATTCTCCTTGCACCAAATCCTCTGGCTGATGGACAGAGGGAGCACTGTCAGCCATCCCCAAGGAGACCCTGTTCCAGGAGGAAAGGAGAACCATAGACATCTTGCTGGATGCTGCAACCTGCCTCATGGTGGGTCAGATCATGAAAGCAGGCCATCCCTAGGCTCCCTTCTCTGGGTGTCCAGCCCAGGTAGGTACAGCAGGGCCCAGGTAGGGGAGACTTGAGCCTTGTGACTGAGTAAGACATCAGATTCTGTAGCTCAAAGTTCAGGTGCTCCGGCGTGCTCATGGAGGCCAACTCAATGGCAAAAAGGGGGAAACTAAAATCCCTGGACGGGGAAGAGTTAAAAGCTCCTCTCCCCAGAAAAGGGTGCTCAGCCTCTTCAAATAGCTAAAGCCTATTTTGCTTGGTGCTGGTTTTCCCAATAAATCTAGGGCCCACAGTGATTTACCAAGAGCCTTGGTTATTGGCAACAGCAATCTCACTTACCCAGAGCAGTGCAGAGAACAAGCTGTAATTTAGAGCTGGATTTATTTTGTTTGTTCTACAGCAACAAACTCAGCAAATCATAAATTCCCTCTGAGATGAAGAGAGGAAATTGACAATATTTATGATCTCGAGAGGCGGAGAAGGGCCTGACCAGGCCTTTAATTTGTAACTGAAACTTCTCCTGGAGGCTCCAGCCAAGGACACAGCTGGTGTCCCAGCCCCAGGGAGCGGGGCTCAGGCCAGGGTGCAGGATGGGGAGGAGGAGTGGGTGATCCAGGCGGTGTTTCCAGCCGCACTGTGGGGATGGATGCTCTGTGCATTCCGAGGCAGGACATGGCTCTGTGCTCATCGGAACATATGGCAACAGAGCCAACAGTGGTTCTCAGATCACACACTTCCTCACATCAAGGCAAGACTAGTTTGTGAGAGACTACAGGTCTGGACATGAGTCTATCATTTACTATATTCTCACATACCTGAGGTTTTGAACTTGCACTTCAGTCTGTGTACTAGATACACCAAATATGACCATCTAATCATCTAGCAAAGGAATGGATAACAGAAGGTCATATACACACTGCTATATTCAAAATGGATAACCAGCAACAAAATGGATAACCACAGGGAACTCTACTCAATGTTATGTGCCAGCGTGGATGGGAGGGAGGTTTGGGGGAGAATAGATACATGTATATGTATGGCTGAATCCCTTCACTGCTCACCTGAAACTACCACAACATTGTTAATCAGCTATGCATGCGTGCATGCTAAGTCATTTCAGTCATGTCCAACTCTGTAGCCCGTCAGGCTCCTCTGTCCATGGATTCTCCAGGCAAGAATACTGGAGTGGGTGGCCATGCCTCCTTCAGGGGATCTTCCCAACCCAGGGATCGAACCCATGTCTTATGTCTCCTGCACTGGCAGGCAGGTTCTTTACCACTAGCACCACCTGGGAAGCCTGGTTAATCTGCTTGACTCCAAAAAAAAAAAAAAAAAAAAAATATATATATATATATATATATACAGTATAATGTCTGAAAAAAGAAAGAAATAGATGCACCAAAATTTCCACCTCATGTTCCAGAACCAAGATGTGATCCTGCAAAGCTCATAAGGGACAGAGGAGCTGCTGTCTTTCCTCATGTCTCTCCCCTGGCTTCCACTTTTTCATTCTTTTCATTCTGCCCCAATCTCCCAGTCCACTGTCACTCTCCACTCCTCACCCTAAATCACTGCAAAGGAAGTTCTCGTTCATTCCACACTCAAAAAGTCAAAGGGATCCCAACCTGACTCCTGTATCAGACAGTCAAGGTGGTCACCTTTGTCCTTTCCAACAGGCTTGCCCTCCAGCATCCTGCCTGGCTCCAAAACCACATCCCCTACTACTATTTCTACAACTAAAAAAAAGTTAACAACCCTTCTAACTCCTTCTCAGTGATCCTCATCTGTTTTTCCATCAGTGCCCCAATGGCTCATTTGCTTGGCACTGTGTGACCTAGGGTGAGTTATTTTCATCGTGTACCACAAGGAGGCAAGACTAGGTTGTCTCCACTTCTACCAGATGGACTTGACATGGAAAAGCCTGCCAATAAAGAACCTGGGAGGCCCTGGGCTGCCCACTCATGCCCTGTGCAGGAAATATTGGGTTGGCCAAAAAGGTAACTTGGGGTTTCCCATAAGACGTTACAGAAAATCCCAAATGAACTTTTTGGCCAGTTCAGTGTTTGGCCTGACAGCCAATCAATGCCTTTCACTGCTCTGCTGATTCCAAACGAGGGAAGGTGGGAATGTCCATCCTAAGTTTAACAGAGGGGCCAAGGAGGGAGCCAGCCACCTACCAGAGCCCAGCAGGGGCTCAGAGTAGGCTCACCTAGACTCTCAACCATTGCATCCAGCGCCGTTGCCGCAGCCGCATAAATTCCTGCGTTCTTGGAGTTGAGGTTGTCTGCTACAGCGATAATGATGGAGAGCAGCATGGGCTGTAAGCTTTCTCTCAGGAGGGGGATCATCTTGGCGAGGGACTCCAGCGCCCACTGGTTCACCTTCTTGTTGGAATCCTGAAGCCTTGGGGTGAAAGCATCAAAGACCTATTGAGGGAACAGAAACCAAGAGCCCATGGGAACCCAGGCTGGGCAGGAGTCCTACAGCCCAACCAGCTGCCCTCTGCAGGGACTCCTCCTCCCTGATGGGGACCATCCAGCCTATGTCAGAGTATTTCCAGTGATGAAGAGCTCACCTCTCAAAGGGGGAGGCGACAAGAGGGGAAGGACTGTATACTGAGTACTCGTTGGGAGCAAAGGGCATAGAGCATCTTGTTAGGTATTCTGCACTCACTCATGGAGTAATCTTAATGACCCATGAAGCACAGGTTCTCATCCTCAGTTTACCATTAAAAAACAAAACAAAAACTGAGGCTGAGAGAGGTTAAATGATTTGCCCAGATCACACAGCTAGTACGAAACTTCAAGCTTGTGTCTTAACGACTCTGCTATGTGGCTTGAGTGTCAGCAGCCTCACTCCTGGAAGAAGCAGGCATCTGCCCTCATTTCCAGACTGCGAGACCTGTGCTTTCTCTGAACCCACCCATCCAGCCATCCTGGCCCAGATGCCTGGTCAACCACATGTTCTACCACCAAACCTCATGCGCATAGCAGGATTGGGGGCAGCCCTTAGCCATGGCAACCTCCATCTCCACCCTCCTCCCTATAAATCTGCTGGGACGATGAAAAATGCCCAAGACGTCTCTGAGTGGTCCCAAGGTGCCCAACAGGAAGCAATGCCCTGTCCTCTTGGCCACTTCCAGATAATCTTATGTCATTACCATGGAAACTGGAAAGCAAAAGTTTGTCAGGCTCCCTTTACCCTGGAGGGTCTGGCACAATGTCTAACCCTCTCCCGAGTTTTCCAGATTGAAGTTGCACCTACTGGGGCGAGAGACAGGACAGGTGTGGGGTGGCACTCACCTGGACCAGGTTGGCAATGATGAGCTCTGGTTTGGCCCTGCAGTGCTCAACGAGCCGCCCCACACCTTCCATCCGAGACTGGTACTCCTTGGCCTCCAGCAGCCGAGTCAGCTCCCGTAGCTGTTCCACCATCTCCAAGCCACCCCGTATGGAGGAGCGCAGCCCCACCAGCCGTGGGCCATTGGAGCTGAGCCTGCGTGGAACAAGCATCTGACCTGGGCAGCCCCAGGGAATGAACATACATCTTGTCCCATGCACAGCCCCCAAAGACAGGTGGGGCTGAAACCAGAGTTTCACCTGCAGCTTAGTCCACTTGAGCCTCCCCTCCACCCACTGCTTGGGGCCACAGGCCTTGGGAACTCTGGAAGTGCCTTTTCCTCAGGAGGGTGCCAATTGGGTGCCTAGGGTTCTGTCCCCTTATCAGCGGGCGGGGCTCTTTCTTCTTATTTGTTTGTTTGTTTCTTCCCCTCTTTTCAGAAGGTAAGTTAGGAATGGGGTTAGGGTCCCTGGAGTGAGGGTGGAAATCCATAGAAGGACAACAGACACACTTTAATCTAAGAATTGGGCTTCCCCCAACTCTTAGATTCCTCCTGCACCCTGACCCCTGGTCATCTAGGCTCTGCTCACATCCTCTGGGAAGAGGGAAATGTTAAGAAGCCCTGTTGTCTTAACATTTGTCTTAACATCACAGGCCCATCACATTCCCCTGGTCTGTTCCAGCCAACAGGAGAGCCTCTTCACACAGAACTCCTGTCCCCCACCCCCAGTGCTCACCTGGGTCTCTGAGTTCTGCCCTACACCTAGGTCCCACCCAGTAGAGCCCAACATCATTCATTCTGACAGTCATCCCTATACCTTGCCTAACTGTGTGCCAAGAGCTCTGCTGGACACTGAGAGCAATGAGATGAGAGGCATGGTCTTTGCCCAAGGAGCTCATGGACCAAAGGGAGGTGAAGGATTGAACGCCGGGGCAACCTGTCCACCTAGGGTACATGGGGGCAGAGGGGCAGAGAGACCTTCTGGTGGAAGGTCACGGTGGGGAGGGTGTCACATCTTATAGAATAAATAGGCATGTTCCAGGTGCAGATGACACTGCATAGGCAGAGGCACAGGAAAGAGAGAACTCCGAGGGCCGGGCACCTGAGGTCTGGCTGAGAGCAGGAACTTAATATAGAAGAGGTGGAGGGGGCTTCCCCCAGGGATCCAGCTAAGGAGTCCAGATGTTCTCCCGCAGAAGGAGTTTAGTTTCAGGCGCAGGAGTGACAGTCAGATTCCTGTTGGGTTTCTAACTCCTCCTGATGCCCACTCTCTCATCCCTGGGCCTATTCCTTCTCACCTGCCTTGACTCTACCTCTGCCTCTAAATTAGTCTCAGGATGGCCACTTTGATGGCAAAAGGTGCTCTAAGTGGATGGAGAAACCCTGAGTTCACATGCAGCCTGACCCCATCCCCGTTAAACAGCAGCTACACAGCTGAGACTGCAGGAATCCATCTCTACCGGCAGATACTCCGTAGCCCACGATTTGCCCTCCCCGAGATGTGGGTGGGGGAACCCTCCCCATAAACTCACCCATGAGTCCTGCTGACCAAGTAAGGCTCAGTTGCAGCCCAAATGCATACCCCTCCTCTCCCAGGGCCACTGCAGACCTCAGGCCAAGCAGAATGTCATGGTCAGAAGTCTTGGAAGGGGAGCCCGAGGGAGACAAGAGCTACTGTACCCGTCCTGGCCAGGCAGTCCGTTCTCATATGCCACCAGACTTCTCGACACCTTGCGGTCTTTGGCAGATGGAATTTCATTACCACCTTCTAGTCCCTTGAGAAATACACACACACACACACACACACACAACATGAGCTGAAAGGAGTGACCCTCTGGGGAACTGCCAAATGTTCCAGTCTAGACCGAAACAAGAGGAATAACCCCTTCCACCCAGGAGAGCTTGGGAGGGCCCTGGGGAGCCTTCCAGGGGTCAAGATCCCCACTTAGAAGATAAAGGCAAGAAAACCTAGGCAGGTACCAGGGACACAGGCAGTGAGAGGCAGAACCAGGTTTGAGCACCAGGAAGGAAATTCTACCCATCAGGCATCATGGATGAAATGAAAGCCTCTAGAATGCATGACCTCTTCCCCTGACCCGAGTGAGGGTTGCAGGCTACTAGGCTCAGCCCTGATCCCCACCCCAGACCAGCTCACACCTTGCCGGCTGCCAACTCACCTGCTGTTTAATAGCTGTCATGACCTTCTGTAAGTCATGGGATGGGAGGGACTGCTTCAGAAATGCATCAAACTTTGTGTTTGACATCAAGATATTCACCATCTTCCGGCCGTAAAACCTGCCATCGGAGAGAGAGCAGGATGAAACAACAGTCACAGGAATGTAATATAAATTTGCTTTACAGTTTTGCATAATTTTTCTAATTATAGTAACAGAATTTTTAATACTTTTTCTAATCATGACAGTAATCCCAACTCAGAACAAACACTGACAATAATCCCATTACCAGGAGAAAACCACTAGTCAATTTTTATATTATTTTATTATAGTCATTTTTCTATGCATATATATTTTTAGTTGATATCAGAATGTATATACAATTTTTACCCAACTTTTTAATGGCTAAATAATATCCTGTTGGATGGCTATACCAAAGTGTATTAACTTTTTTTCTAGCATGAGACATTTAGAAGTCCTAGAAAGGGTATGGTAGGGCAATCTAGGAGGGAGGGGTCAACTCTACCTGATAAATAGTGGTGGTAGTGGGGGACCTGGGTTGGGACTCAAACGATGAGTGAGTGTGTGCTCAGTTGCTCACTCAGTCATGTCCGACTCTTTGCAACCCCATGGGCTCCTCTGTCCATGGAATTTTCCAAGCAAGAATACTGGAGTAGGTTGCCATTTCCTACTCCAGGGGGTTTTCCCAACCTAGGGGTTGAACCCACATCTTCGGCATCTCCTGCATTGGCAGGCAGATTCTTTACCCCTGCGCCACCTGGGAAGCCATAAAAAATGAGTAGGAGTTCACAAATGGGATGAGATTAAGGAGGAAGTGAAGAAGGGAGGACGCCACATAAGACAGTCTGATAGATCTGCAAGTGTGTGGTTGGAGAATAGCAGGCAGAGACTGGACCCAGGAAGAGAATAGGATAGAGAAGAAGGAAGGTAAGACCCAGTTTAGGGAGATGTGAAGGAACTGGGCTTTAGCCTGCAGATGATAGGAAGCTGAGGAATGATCAGATTTGCACTAAAATCAAAATGTCTCAGGACTTCCTTGGTGGTGCCGTTGCAGGGGACAGGGGTTCAGTCTCTGGTCTAGGAAGACTCCACAGGCCGAGGGCAACTAAGCCAGTGTACCACAACTACTGAGCCAGCGCCGGAGGGCCTGAGAGCTGCAACTGCTAAGCTTGTGTGCCTACAGCCTGTGCTCCGCAACAAGAGAAGCCACTGCAGTGAGGAACCTGCACATCACAATGAAGAGGAAGCCTCGCTCGTTGCAACTAGAGAAAGCCCACACAAGTAACGAAGACCCCAGCACAGGCAAAAATAAATACATAAACAATTTTTTTTTAATGTCTCAGGCAGCAGTGTGGAGGATGGATCTTCGGGGACCAGGCTGGAGTCCAGGAGACCTGTTAGGAGGCCACTATAATATCCAGGCAAGAGATGCTAAGGCCTGACATAGGCAGGAGGGTGGGGTTAAGTAAGGATGATCAAATTCAAGAGCTGCTAAAGAAGATGAAATTGAAGGGTCTGGCAGCTGATTGGAGGTGGAGCCTGAAGCATCCAGAATTATCATAGTCACTCAATCTAAAACTTCATTAATTGTAAAAATGCACCATTAATTTATTTCCAAAAGAAAAACAGAAAAAGAAGACACGGGCAATTTCCACTGCCTTCAGTGACACGGCCCCATGTGTGAAAGCCATCCATCCTTCTACATGCTATCTCAGAAACAGAAGTAACGCTTCTTATGGGAATTGCCTTCCTTCCTTAGGTCAGGTAAAGTACTTGATGGTTGCTTTGTAAGAAACTGTGGAATCTGGGTCTTTCCTTCAATGATGAATGTTTGTATTAATATCAAATTTATGCCCCAACACTCTATTTCCATGCCTTTTCTCATACACAATAACTCTCCATTTCAATGCCAAAACTAGTGTAATATTTCTAAAGACACTTTAAACAACGATTAAACTCAGCAATTCTCCACAGTGACTTTTTAAAATAAATATAAAAGGCTAACCAGCAAACAAAGTCTCATAATGTAGTTCCTACAACACAAACAGTAATTCAAAGGTTTATATGATGAGCAACGAGGATCAAGTTTGCAATTGTGTAGATAGTAAAACTTAAAGTCTTAATTGCTGCCTGGCCAACAACAGCTGTGAGATGCCTAGGATTCTAAGATATTAAAATGTGGAGGGAAAATGAAGTATAACTTCCCCATTTTTAATTTTAGATGACTCAGTAAATAATAGTGACTTTTAATAAGAGAGGGAACACAGCCAGAGAAGCCACCTTCGGGAGAAGGCAGTGAATTCATTTAGGGTGACAGTGGGACATCCCGGTGATGGGTCCTGGGGAGGCATCAGAGAAATGGACAGATGCTCAGAGAAGGAGCCGCCTGGAGGGAGACACAGGGGAACATCAGAGTTTTGCTATGAGTGGAGCCATGGGAAGTAATGGTGCCGCTCAAAGAAAGCTGCAAGGTGGGGGTGAGGACTGAAGACAGTCCTGAAGCCATGGGCATCCAGGTGTGGTGGGAGGTGGGGGAGAAAGACACAGAGGAAGGACGAGAACCAGGGAGTGTGGTGCCATGGAAACCAGAAGCATAGGGTTCCACGAAAGAAGATGAAGTGCACTCAATGCCATCCAGTGTGAGAGAGAAGTCAGTGAGGGGTTTAGATCTGGAGAGGTATTAGATCTTAACGTCCCTTCCCCCACCCATGATGAAGAACAAACCAATCAAACCTATTAAATACTTCCCTGACGATATTCCTCCCTTCAGTAGATGGCCCTTTCACTCACCCCACAGTTCATCTGAAAACCTAAGTCTCATCTCTGATTCCTCTTTGAAACCCTCACCACCAACCTGCTATCAGCTCTGCCTTCAAAATACACCCCAATCCACCCCCTCCCCATTCTGCAGCCTCCAACACGACTTGCCCAGATTCTGGGGTTGCCATCCACCCAGCATCCCACCTGCATCCTGGCTCCTCTCCCCAACTATCAATCCTCCAGAGAAACTTTTTTTTTTTAATGCAAAAGACTAGCAAAGATATCAAAAAGCACCCAAATGCATTAGCAATCAGGGAGGGAGGAAAAGAAGCAGTAGTGAGCTAGCACTTCTATCCACTAGTTGGGTAAAAATGTGAAACCCAGAAATTGCAAGGTTGTGAGGATGTAGGCACCTCAGGGGCAGGGTAGGGGGGCCTCCCTGGTAGCTCAGACAGTAAAGAATCTGTCTGCAACGTAGGAGACCTGGGTTCAATCCTTGGGTTAGGAAGATTCCCTGGAGAAGGGAAGGGCAACCCACTCCAGTATTCTTGCCTGGAGAATTCCATGGATGGAGGAGCCTGGAAGGCTGCAGTCCTTGGGGTTGCAATCCTGAGGTGCAATCCTGTGGGAGGGCATGGGGAAGGAGCATGCGTGCGGTGCTGCCTTCCCGGGTGCACTCTGGGACAGCCCATGTGAAAGCACCGTCTGGGACACAACACTGAACACAGCGTGGAGCTGTAGCAGGAGCGGTGGGGGCTCCAGACATAACATGTCATGAACTGAGAAGTATGATAAATGACCCCAACTCCAGCTTTTAAGGACTCTTACCAAATCCCCAACCCCTGACCATGAGGCCCTCCCCGGCCTGGCCTTGCCTCCTCCCCATCACTGCCCACCACGCCCCTCGTTCACTGTGCTCCACCAAGCTTCGCCTTCTCATCATTCAACACCCAACTTAGCCCATCCCAGGGGATGTACCACCTTCCTTTGCTGGGACTCTTGCACCCCAAATCCTCAAAGAGCTTGGCCCTACTAGCCAATCAGTTCTCAACTCAAATATCAATCTGTAGCGAGATCTCCCTTGACCCTCAACCTAAAGTAGTCCCTACCTTGTCTTCCATTACGTTTTTGTTTTGCCCCTTATCTGTGTCTAAAAGTGTCATAATTATTTAATTGTTTATTATGTGACTAGGAGGTAGGATCCAAGACAACAGGGGTCTAATTTTTCCTGTTCACACCTGTGCTCATAGTAATGAACAGAATGCACATCACATATCTCCTGAACAAAATGAATGAATGGATAGCTTCATAGGGAATGGAGCTGGACCGGGACAGAAACTAGAGCAAGATTGCAATGGCTAGAGGGGAAGTGAAAGGTGAGGGCTGGGAGGCAGATGGTAGGATTGCAATGGCTAGAGAGGGAGTTAAAGGTGAGAGATGGGAGGTAGAGGGTAGTGACCATTCCCTGAGCGGGCCTGGCTCTGGCTGTGGTGGTGTGGAGAGGTGGGATGACAGCTGTAAGGAAATGACACAACTTTGTCCATCAACTGTCCCTCCCCGTGGCCCTGGGGAAGTTGAGCTGCATGGGCAGGACCCTCAGGGGTGGCTGATGGCCTTGTCTGCGCTGGGCTGGCCAGGTCAGCCATCCCCCCGGCCCTGCATTACCTGGTGTCCTGGTTGGAGTCCTGGGCCAGTCTCACCAGGTTGTGCACCAGCATGTCTGTGCTGTCTCTGGTGCCTGAGAGAAGCTTCTCGGCGCCTATCTGCTCCAGGACGACCGACAGGTGCTCGGCAGTGCATTTCCGGACTAAGGGGTTTCGGTGGCTGAAAGGAAACCCAGTCACGGGCAAGGGCTCAGTCAAGGAATGGGGTTTGGGCAGGAGGGGCGTCCCCAGACTGCCACACATGGACCTACAGTTGTGCCTCTGTGTTTCATGCCACAGTGGGCTCCCAATTTTGTCCCTCCATGGCTCAGGGGAAGCTTCAAGGAAGAGCAGTCCCTTCCTGACAGTGGAACTGAGGACGGACTAGGGGTGAACATGAAGCCACATGACGTCCCCAGGCCCACCGCGTGCCCACCATCCCTGTGCCTTCCTGAGCTCATGTCCTGCCTTTGCCTAAATTCACTTCTCACCTTTCCTCTACCTAGGATACCCTACCTCTGCATTCTGAGCCCCAGGACAAAACTAATGCTTTCCTGGGGGGAAGGGCACTGTCCTTTGTCCCCTGGTAAATACTGGGGTACCTCATGGTTCCCAGGGAGCAGACAACAAGACTCCCTCTCAGTTGAATCCCCTGTGCCCCTCTGGCATGGTGACCCTTCAGCAGTTCGTGGACATTTACTGCGTGTTCATTGAGCTGAATTGAGATAGGAGGTGGGATAGGAGATTGATGGGTGATTTCTAGGGGAACCTGAAATCTTACAGGAGGAACCCATCGGGATGTCACCTCTTTCTTTTTCACTTCATTCTATGTGAATTCAATGTGTCCACAGTCCATTGCATTAGGTGACACTGGCCCCTTCCTCCTCACTGGGGACCATCCCAGTAGAACACAAAGGGAGGCTTCCCTACTCAATGTGGTCCAGGGACCAGCACATTAGCATGCAAGTCAGAATGTGCACTTAAGCAATATCCTAGGGAATTCCAATGCACAGACAGCCCTGTTTCAGGCTCCCATGGTTCCTCCTGACAAGAATCTATTGGCTCAGTTTACTGTGAGCACACCCTCCCTGCCAGGCACTGCACTAGACACCTTTGAACCCAGGTCTCCCCAACTCCACAAGCTACTTTTGTCATCATCTTGCAGGTGAGGAAGCAGAGGCATGGGGAGGAATCCAGAAAACAAGTACAATTGATTTCTCCCTAGTTAAAAACAGCCACTATCAGCACTCAGTCAATGTCAGGTAGAGACAGGCGTTTCCCCATGAATGAATTCCTATACTCTTCCCAACAATTTTATTATTATCCCTGGTCTCCTTTTACAGATGAGGAAACAGAAGCTTGGGGGAAGTTTAGTAACAATCCAGACTGTGAACTTCGGTAATGTGGTTCAGGAGTCTGTGGGCAAAAAAGGCCTTCTGGTTGTGACAGCTCACCCTGGGTTCTACCCAGCAGGCCACCCAGCGTAACAGTCAGTGACTGGCTTATCGGGGCTGAGAGCTGTGTCACCCTGTGGGAGAAAGGGCTTGGGGGAATGCTTCTGGTTTTGCTGTTGGAGTTGGTTTTTGTAAAGAGAAAGCAGATCTGGCTGCAGAAGGGTTCTGACATCAGCCTGTACCCTCCTCTCCAGAAGGCCAAGTGGGGCCAGCTAGAGCAGATTTTGTGCCTTGCTCTGCTCACAGTCCAGATTTCATCAGAAAGAAGCATCCCTCCCCTGGGTACAGTGAGGCCTGGGCTGAGGATGCCTCTGCCACCCCATCTCCGGGGACAGTACCATGGCCACTTCGAGCTTCCCGGTGTTGAGCAGACAGTAGCACCGATCCCTTCCCAGCTGGGGCCTGGGACAGCTACAAGCTGCCCTCATTATCCCCAGCCTGGCCCAGGCGGGAGAGAGGCCCACCGGGGAGCAGGGGTCTTTCTCTCCAGGGGAAATGCTTGAGGCACCTGCACCATCTCCCTGCTCTGCCCCTACCCAGTGCCTCTCCCCTTTGCCTGACCTCCCCAGGCTGCTCCCCCACCGGATCCCCACGTACTAGATGCCCACGGAGGTGAGGGCCACCAGGGAGCGGGCGGGGGTCACGTGCTCCACCATGGCCCCCAGGGACCGGTTGGCTGCCCTTTGGATGAACCCGCTGGTGTTTGCCATCTTCTGGAGCAGGCAGCGGGTGATCTCCTCGGCCTCCTGGTCCATGTTCTTCTTCAAGGCCCGGAAGAGGTCTCCCAGGGTGCTGATGGCCAGGCGGGACACCTTGGAGCGGAGGTTGGTAACCTTGGAGAGAGATGGGCCGGGGACCTGCAGGACTGCTGGGCCCTGCCAAGGGCTCCAACACATCGGAAGGAGGAACCCTGCACCACCTCTCCTGCGGCCCCCACCCTCACCCAGGCCTAGGCCTCACCAGACTGGAAATGGAAACCCTGCAGTAGCTCTGGGCAAAACAGTCTCATTTTAAAAAAAACACCATTACTTTTGTTATCATCATACTTATCAATCCTACTATTATCATTATCATCTGAAATTTGTATAATACTTAGTCTTGAAAGCACTTTTACAATTGATGTTTAATTTGATCTTCACAAGGCCCCCCAACGGGGACAGTCTACTCCCAAGGACAGGAGGCATTGCCTCCACTTGTGATAAGATACATCTTTATTGCCCATCTGGGCCTGGCCTAGGCCAAGCCTTAGCCTCACAGGAGAAAGGATTTGGGAAATGTTACAACTGCCCACAAGTTGGAGATCTAGCCCAGAACATTTCACCCCTCCTCAGGCATTCTAAGTACAGAGGACAACGCAGGGCTGTGACAGATGGGCACATAGGATTCTGAGTATTTCGATACCCAGAGATTAGAAATAAGGAAACTCCAGGCCTCAATTTTCCAATCTAAGAAATGGGTGTCTAGCTCCCACCTCAGTGGCTGAGAGCAGAGAAATAAACAGGGATGTCCTGGGAGCCATGGGCCCCTCTGCAGCTGCTGTGTGACTAGCACCAGCAGTAGCACCAGGGAAGGGGGACTGGCTGGGGGTCAAGCGGAGCACACAGGACACAGGAGCCCTTACCTCCCCGGTCACGGCCAAGGACACATCATGTAGCCTCCCGGTGAGGACCTCCGAGTGACAGGCTGCCAGGCGCTGGATGCTCACCAGGCCCCTCTCCTTCATCTGCCTGAGAAGCAAGTCCAGGCCCTGTCATAGGTGACTGGGGGAGGGCACTGTACACAGGGTGCCCACATTGCCACCACCCCCGCCACAGTGGGGAGGGATTTGATGGCGTCAGCGGCAGTGCCCTGGTGTTACAGCCAGGCTGAAACACCAGCAGTCCAATACAGGCCATTTTACGGGGTCCGTGACCCAGCCCAAACCAGGATGGAGGCCCACTCCCACGACCCAGGCCTATGCCACCCACAGAGCCTGTGCCTGCAAGAGAAGGCTCTTGAACATGAGAACTGAAGGAGGCCTTCCCGCAAACGGGACCTCAAGTCATCACTTTGCTCAGGACTAAGACGGGTGGCGCTAGTGGTAAAGAACCCGCCTGCCAATGCAGGAGACATAAGAGATCCGAGTTCGATCCCTGGGTTGGGAAGGTCCCTTGGAGAAGGGCATGGTGACCCACTCCAGTATTCTTGCCTGGAGAATCCCATGAACAGAGGAGCCTGGGGGCCTACAGCCCATAGGGTCGCACAAAGGCAGACATGACTGAAGCGACTTAGCACACAGCACACGAGACTGTGTGGCAGAGGGACACCGGAGCAGAATGAACTCAACTTAGAGAAAGGAAGGACTCTGACCTTCCTCAAGTCCCCAGGGAAGCGTTACAGATTCAGACTGTACTTCCTAGGCCCGGCTCTGGGGCGCACAGGACTGTTGGCAGTCCAGAACAGACGATGCCGGTGGGACTCACGCACCCCCCCCCACCCCTCCCCCTCCGAGGGACCAGGGTCTGCAGTGGGGGAGGGGCGCGGGGCAGGCGCTCCTCTGCGGCCCCACCCCTACCCGGTCACAGCACGCAGGGCTGTATCCTCACCAGTCACTGCTCTCCAGGCTATGCAGGGCATCCACCAGCCCCAGCTCAGGGTTCGAGAAAGGCCTCAACTCCCTGAAGGCTCGAAGATCCGTCTCCTCCTCCTCTTCTTCCCACTCAGGAGACCCCAAAGTGAGCACCGCGGGTAAGGACTGAGCTGCAAGAAAAGGAGAGGAGTGGGGGCGGGGAGGGGGGGGGCGGTTTCACCCAGAAGACCTGAGGCCTCCACAGGACGGCACTGAACCCACCTTACTGAGGAAGGGAAGACGGAGTGGGGGGTCTGCAGGGTGAATGGACTCGTGAGGCCTAGAAGCCAGGGCCTGGGCTGCACTCCCTGGGGAACCATGGAGACCACCTAACTCCTACCTCTCATTGACCGTTTTTATCCCTACCATTGCTAACCTGATTATGATAAATAAACTGGCCTGTGATAGGTTGCTTGATGTCACGTGACCAAGCCCACCCAGCTGGTGATTCGTCCCCAATCCTGCCCTGTCTGTGACCGGAGGTGAGGCCAGCAAGTCTATCAAGGAATGACTCCCTGGCTCTAACCCTGTCCCCACCCAGGAGCCTGTGTTACGACTTCTCCTCCTCCTCCTCCTCCTCCTCAATTCTCCATCCTCTGGTGAAGCCGGGGTCCCCCGGACAGTCCCTCAGCTCCTTCATTAGCAGAGCCAGGACTGGAATCCAGATCTCTCACTTCCCGCCTGGTTCTCTGCAGAGGTACGTCTTTACATGACTTTTCACAATGCCATACCCAGGAGGTCCAAGGCAAGAATGAGCTGAGGGGTAGTACTCTCCTTTAAGCCAAGACACAAAGACCTCATTCATTCTTGGATTCTCTTCTCAGCTTTGCCAATGGATCAAGAGTCATCAGCCAAAGTCTAAGTCCCTATGGGCCACCATCACCTCGAGTGACCTTGGGTGCTCTTGGGTGACTTTGAGTCTCTGGGTCTCAGTCTATTGTCTATGAAATAAGTAGCTTAGATTAGAAAGATCAATGTTTCCCAAGTACCAACCATTCAGTTACCACTTCCATGGTTTGTTTTTTTTGCCACGTCTCTTAAGTACTTGTACCCTTATTTATGTGGTATTTTTCCTCAACTCACTTTTCAAACCCTAAATAAGTTTATTTAAGGGAAATTTATATCACTACCATAATTGGTAAATGATTATTTGTCATAGGGTGTGATAAATATTTACAGTCAAAGTAAAAGAATATTGTAAACTCTCACTGCAAAGTGGCAGTCAGCTTCTGATTTTTCTAGCCAGGAGGAAGATCTCTTTGTTTAAAAAGGAGACTCAAAAGTCTTAGTAAGGTGTTAAAAATTAGCACTAGATTAAGGCTTTCAACTTGATGGTATCAAAAGAATAGAAAGAGAATGAAATAGAAAGGTGAGCCAGTATTATTTCTAGCACCCTAATGATGCTCTATTCTCCCACTGATGTCTTACAATATCCTATACTTAAAGAAACTCTGAACCAAGTTGATGGTTTTCAAATGTCCTTTTGTAGCAAAATCGTTTCAAATGAAATCCCACATGGAGGCCTAATATGCCAAAAGGGGAAGCAAAATAAACCCTCCTTTGGTGGAATGGGGACAGGGCCTCCCCTCCACCTTCCTGAGTGTCCCACAGAAACTTCAGGTCCTTGCATCCCAGTCTGTAATCAGCCCTGTCCAGCCCTGACATTTTATAAGGCAACAGGCAGGAACCCAAGATTTTCCCAGAACCCTTTTCTCTCTTCCGGGTGTTTCCAGATATTTCCACAGAGGCTGTTATCAGCATCTGTGATCCTGGTGCTCTGGTGGGTCCTCTAGGACATGTCACACAGGTTGGGCACACCTGTCCAGCCATCCACAATTCCCGTTACAACAGCCTGGGTCCCCAGGCTGGCCCACAGACACTCTACTGTTCCTCTCTCTGGCAATCCCAGGCTGCCCCCTGCTCTCACAAGGGCAGCAGAAGCAGAGCAGCAGAGGTCACCCTTGCCATGCCCCTCAGCATCCAAGACAGCATACCGAGAGACAGATACGTGCCCCCCACCAGTTGGTCCAGGCCCCACCTGAAGCATGGCGGGCAAAGCTGGGCTCCTGCTTGCTGATGGGGATGCTGGGCAATGAGGCCCGGCTGGCCCGCTTCCTCAGGGTGACGCCAAGGTTGTTCCTGCGGGGGCTGCTCAGCCCGGTGGGTACGGACAGGGTCCCGCTGCCCCGGAGGGGAAGGAGGCCTGTGGAGGCAGAGAAAGTCCGTGGACAGAGCTGGTCCTGCCTGGCCCCAGACCCCTCACTTTGGAAATTAGCTCTTCGGTGAACTGTGTGAGAGCAAAGGTGACTCCCTGTCCAGTCTCAGGGTGGAGACTGTGTGGATGGGAAGTGTGGAAATGTTCTCTTTTTGGCCCAGGTGTTGGTGAAGGAGTGTCCCCAGCCTGAAGGCGCCTTCCCCAAACACCCAGTACCTTCCTTCATCAAGGTCCTCCGGGAGCCCAGGCTCTGGGAAGTGAGCTCTCTGTCCCTCTCCGGCTCCTTTGCCCTGCGGAGTAACTCCATCTCCTTCATCTGCTTCAGCCTCATCTTCTCCTGGGCAGACCTGGCAATGGTGACCTGAATCTGGCACAAGGTCAGAGCAAACTCTGTCACCTTGCAGACCCAATTGTGCTTTCTATACCTTCTTCATTCATTCAGTCATCAGGAACATGAGTGGCTCCTGGGTGCTGATGGCTGTTCTGAAAATGATCAAAAACTCAAAGGCCTTGCTCCCAAAGAACTATGTGGAGTGGTGAGATGGCAGCAAACAGACCAGCCTCTAATGTCAGGCAACCATGCACGGGAAGGAAAGTAAGGGACACAAGGTGATGGGGTTTGTTTCAGGTAGGGAGATCTCAAGGCAGTGAAATTGAAGCAGAAACAGAAACAAAGTAAGGAGCAGACCTTGAGTCTAGGGGCTGCTGGGTGTGGCTGTGAGCCCCGAGGAGGACACTGGTGGGGGTGCCCAGAGTCAGAGGCAAGGCAGGAAGGTTGGGAGTGGTGGGGTTGGGGCAGGAGCCACAGCACACTAGGCCTAGTGGTCCATGTCGGGACTTGGGCTTCTCTTCTGGAGGACACCGCAAGTCACTGGAGGTTCTGAACAGAAGAGTGATGTGATCTGATTCCCTCTTTTTTTTCCTTTTTCTTTTTTTGGCTGGGTGGGGGGAATTCTCTAAGTATTGTTCTTTATAACTTTTTATTTTGACATAATTAAAGATTCACAAGAAGTTGCAAAAATAGAACCAAGAATTTCCATGTGGCAGGACTTGGACTAGGATAACCAGAAAAATGATAGAATGACTGGATTCTGGACAAGTTCAAAAGTAGAGCCCACAGCTTTGGCTGATACATGAGGTGTGGGATAAGAGAGACAGGAGGTGGGATGGGCCTGCGATTTGGGGTCAGAGCAGCTGGAAGTCTGGAGTTGCCTTTTACTGCCATTCACAGAGAGAGGACACTGGGAAAAGGAAGTTTTGGGGTGGGGTGGGTGAGAATTCCACAGTTAAAATCTTGGATAAGGTAAGTTGGAAATATAACTAAAGACCTAAATGCAGATGTTGAGTATCAGTGCTATATAAATGCAGTCATATAATTCAACAACTCCAGGAGTTCAGGGGAAGGTCTGGGCTGGAGAGGGAGATTTGGGAGCCCTCTGCATAGAGGTGGTACCTAATGCCTTAGGTCAGGTATCAGGTTACAGCAGTCAGTATAAATAGACAAGATGCTAGAGGTGTGAGTTCTGCGAGTGCCATCACAGAGGTCAGGAAGACAGGGAGGGGTCAGCAAAGAAGCACCAGGAAGGGTGTAACTGGCGTAGTCAGAGAGGCAAGAAAGAAGCAGCCCTCATTTCCATTCCTTGGTGGGGAATTCAAGAAGGATGAGCCACAAAAGCTGGCAATCGGTCAAGTTGAAAGAGCACTGAGACTGCTGCACATGGGATGGTGGATCCACCAGTGCCTCAATGGGGGCAATTTCAGCGGGGCTGCGGGAACTAAACCTACTGGCCCACACTCAGGAGAGAACTGGTAAAGAGACAAGGCAGAATTTTTGCTCTGGTTTGGTTTTCTTAAGATGAGAGAGAGCTAAGATGCTGGTGGGGATGATCCAGTGTCAAGGAAATTATTGTTGATGCAGGAGAAGGACAAGTACTGGAGTTGGGATGTCAGATGGATTGAGCTAGAACATTAGCAGAAGGAAGTGAGCAAATGGGCTGCTTGAGGTTGAGATGATGGTGGGGTAGATGTTATTTGCAGTGCCAAGGTCTACGGTATGACCATGGGAGTGAGTGGCTAAGGTGGGTAGAGGATGAGATCATTTCATGGCCCTGAATTATTCCTCCTTTGTCCCATGGTCTGTCACCATTGCTAGAGAGGGAGGATGTGGTACCTGGACCTTATCAGCATCACTGGATCCCATAGCACATAGCAGGCTTTCAAGATATGTTTATTGCACTCTTACATCTCTGTTTCGAAGGATGACCATAACAGTGACTCTGCATGTATGTACGCATGCATCCAGATAATCAACGATGGTGTGATCACTCACCTGGAGCCAGACATCCTGGAATGTGAAGTCAAATGGGCTTTAGGAAGCATCGCTATGAACAAAGCTAGTAGAGGTGATGGAATTCCAGTTGAGCTATTTCAAATCCTAAAAGATGATGCTGTGAGTGATGCACTCAATATGTCAGCAAATTTGGAAAACTCAGCAGTGGCCACAGGACTGGAAAAGGTCAGTTTTCATTCCAATCCCAAAGAAAGGCAATGCCAACACACAAGTGCACTCATCTCACATGCTTTCACAGCAATGCTCAAAATTCTCCAAGCCAGGCTTCAACAGTACATGAATCTTGAACTTGCAGATGTTCGAGCTGGTTTTAGAAAAGGCAGAGGAACCAGAGATCAAATTGCCAACATCTGCTGGATTATCAAAAAAGCAAGAGAGTTCCAGAAAAACATCTATTTCTGCTTTATTGACTACACCAAATTCTTTGACTGTGTGGATCACAATAAACTGTGGAAAATTCTGAAGAGGTGGGAATACCAGGCCACCGGACCTGCCTCTTGAGAAACCTGTATGCAGGTCAGGAAGCAACAGTTAGAACTGGACATGAAACAACAGACTGGTTCCAAATAGGAAAAGGAGTACATCAAGACTGTATATAGTCACCTTGCTTATTTAACTTATATGCAGAGTACATCATGAGAAATGCTGAGCTGGATGAAGCACAAGCTGGAATCAAGATTGCTGGGAGAAATATCAATAACCTCAGATATGCAGATGACACCACCCTTATGGCAGAAAGTAAAGAAGAACTAAAGAACCTCTTGATGAAAATGAAAGAGGAGAGTGAAAAAGTTGGCTTAAAGCTCAACATTCAGAAAACTAAGAGCATGGCATCCGGTCCCATCACTTCATGGCAAATAGATGGAGAAACAGTGGAAACAGTTGACTTTATTTTTTGGGGGCTCCAAAATCACTGCAGATGGTGATTGCAGCCATGAAATTAAAAGACACTTACTCCTTGGAAGGAAAGTTATGATGACCCTAGACAGCATATTAAAAAGCAGAGACATTACTTTGTCAACAAACAAAGGTATATCTAGTCAAGACTGTAGTTTTTCCAGTGGTCATGTATGGATGTGAGAATTGGACTATAAAGAAAGCTGAGCGCCAAAGAATTGATGCTTTTGAACTATGGTGTTGGAGAAGACTCTTGAGAGTCCCTTGGACTACATGGAGATCCAACCAGTCCATCCTAAAGGAGATCAGTCCAGTGTTCATTGGAAGGACTGATATTGAAGCTGAAACTCCAATACTTTGGCCACCTGATGTGAAGAGCTGACTCATTGGAAAAGACCCTCATGCTGGGAGGGATTGGGGGCAGGAGGAGAAGGGGACAACAGAGGATGAGATGGTTGGATGGCATCACCGACTCAATGGACATGAGTTTGGGTAAACTCTGGGAGTTGGTAATGGACAAGGAGGCCTGGTGTGCTGTGGTTCATAGGGTCGCAAAGAGTCAGACACGACTGAGTGACTGAACTGAACTGAACGCATGCATGCTCTGTCGTGTCCGACTCTTTGTGACCCTATGGACTGTAACCCACCAGGCTCCTCTGTCCATGGGACTCTCCAGGCAAAAATACTGAAGTGGGTTGCCATTTCCTTCTTCAGGAGGTCTTCCAGACCCAGCGATCAAACCAGGGTCTCTTGCAACTCCTGCCTTAGCAGATGGATTATTTTACCACCAAGCCATGTGGGAAGCCCAGTGACTCTCCAAGTTTCACTAAATTCATCCAGACTAGGATCTAGAATCCCAGCGATGGCAGAGCCTGGTGGGCTGCCATCTGTGGGGTTGCACAGAGTCGGACACAACTGAAGTGACTTAGCAGCAGGATCTGTATGAATCATCTGGATCAAGGTCGCCTTAGAAGTACAAGGTATTTGTCAGCCTGTGAAACAGCCTTTGGCTGATCTGCCTCTGAGTCAGCTGCCTCTAGGTTGCTATCTTGGGTGCTGGTTCAAATTACTTGGTTTGGTTCACCTAAGCCCTTCTGCCATCTCCCCCACATCCTGCTTCCTTCTGAACCACGTGTGACCTCCTTCTGTCCTCGCCTCCTCCCTCAGCCCCACCCCTCATCTCCCTGCTGTACTCTCCACTTCACCTAGGCTCCCCACCTCTATCCTTCTCCTCCTTTCTTTCCTCTCTTTTTTTCCATAGCCTTCACCCAAAACCCATCTACAGGTTCCATCCTTAAGGACTAGAGCAGCTGCCTCAGGGTTCTTCCTTGCTTTCCTCAAGCCGGTCCCACACTTGTTTATTTCAGAAACATGTGTGTCTTCAGCCAGTGTTCTACTCTCACCCCAGCTTCCTCCTCCCCTCGCTTTCCAGGTACCTTGGTTCCACTCCCCTTCTGGTCCTCCTCTTTTAACAAGGGGTGAGCTTCTTTGGCATGGCTGAAGGAGAAGGATGTCAGCATCGGAGCAGACTGAGATAAAGGCAGGGCAGGCTTCTCAGGAGCAGCAGACCTGTCTCTGACAGGTGGAATCAAAGGTCTTGGCTCTGAGGAATGGAGAACAAGAATAGAACTGAGGACACCCAGCACCTGAGAGCAGCAGCCGTTGGGATTAAGGTTCTACAGCCCTGTGGTTGGTGTAACATTTAACTGTCTGAGCCCTCCACCCTCAGTTCTTCTGCCCTATGCTTCCTTAAAAGGGCAAGGCACAGGTTACATTCACTCTACAGAGCAGCACTTGCAGGTATAGAACAGGCTGCCTGAGGACCAACACCCTCCTCCTTTCACGCATCCGTCCATGCATCCGTCTATCAACAATTATTGCACACTTTATTCTAAGACTAGAGTTGGGTGGGGTGGAGAGGAGGGTGGGCAGGAAATAGGGGCAGACCTGTTATCTAAGAGGTTTGAAATATTTTCTGAGAATGTAAGTCTGTCTTAACTGGGAGACAATACTTCAGAAAGAGGAAAAACAAAATGAGCCCACTGATCATTATACACTACCATGCTCCTATCTGAGGCTATAATATAGCAGGAAAGAGCCAGAGAATTAATGCCAGCCTAATGCTCTCATTTTACAGATGGGAAAGCTGAGACTCAGTGACCTTCAGATGCTCTTATGATTAATAAGATTCAAATTCATTCCAAATGACATCAAACCCATAGTATTTCTTTGTCATTCCATATTTACCCAATTAACAGACTTTAAGAACATGTTTCTTGTTTTAGGGACAGTGTGGGGGTAGATGCATTAGATTTCCTTTAATGAAAGAAACGTTAACCAGGTTCTCCTGCTCACAAAGTTCGGAGTTCACTGTCCTTGAGTGAACTTGCAAATCAGGGCTCCTCCAGGAAGGGGGGCCACCACCTGGGGCTGCCTGAGGCTGGAAAGGGTGTCTTGCATCTGGGGATCTGGCAGGGCTCTTGGGTCCCCCCAGATCTCTGCCCGGCCCCTGCCTTCTACCAAAGATCCCTCCTTGGAGAAGGCTCTAGAACCAAGGGGCAAAGCCTCTGTCTGCTGGAAAGTAAGACAGGGCTGAGGACACAGGTGTCCAGGTGCCAGCTAACCAGGGCAGGGACTGCGGGAAAGCCCTCAGCTTCAGACACTACCACATGAGCCCCGACAATGTGCCAAACGTGGTGTCCACATTGGGCACTGTTGTCCCCTGCCGACAGCTGGAAGGTCAGAGAGCTTCTTGAGGACTCTGCCAGTTTATACCCCCCTTTTGCCTATGCCTCCAAGAGACACCCTGGAAAGTCTTGTCCGAGCAGCCTGGCCCCTGCCCCCCAAGGACTTGGTTCTCAACTAACAACCTGGTGGGGCAGACAAGGGAGTAGCTCTAGGCTGGTGTCTCCTGGCCCAAAACCCCCTTCCAGTGCTCTCAGGAAGCTCTTATGGGACACTGGGTGCCCATGTGTGTCACACTGGACTGCCCCAGCTCACCCTGCCGCAGCCCAGCCAGAGAGGGGAGACTGGCCTCAGCAGAGGTTTCTATGCCAGGCCTGCCTTTCAGGCCCAGATGGGCATCCTGACCCTGGGGCCTCGTGGGCAGCAGCCTCCCCCTGACCAACTGACCTGCTGCTGAGCTGATTACAGAGTGACCTGCCCGGAAGCTGGGCAACAGTCCACCCGCTCCTGCCAGTCAGCACAGCAGCTGCCACCAAACCCCTAGGCCTGCGGCCCAGGGTTCTCTGCCCATGTCCCCTCACTCGACCTTCCATCCTCCCCACGAATTAGGTCATAGGCTGGAGAGCCTCTCTGAGCCTCAACCACCTGCCTCACTGCCAGCCCAGCTGGTTCTCTTCCCCTGACGCTGAAACCTCCCGGGATCGGCTGACCAAGGGATTCATGGGATGCAGTTTAATTTCTCACTCTGTCTGGAAAGGAATGCTCTATTCACTTAGACCCATGCGTCTCCTGCATTGGCAGGTGGGTTCTTTACCACTAGCACCACCTGGGAAGCCTGGGGCAGCCACAGGATGGGACAAAACCCCACCTTTGGAGCCGTGAGGACCTGCGTGCTTTCTGTGCACTGAGACTAAGACGGAGGTCCAGCCTGGTGAACCTCAGTGCACCCCTTCCTCTATCAGATGGGACAGCACCATCTCTCTCGGCTGGGTGATCATGAAGCAACCTACGCTGGTGGAGGGTAGGTAGCACAGAGCAGGGGCCACCCTCCCTGGCACCAGGCGACTTCTGCTTCCCCCTCCAAGAAATGAGGGCAATGAGTCTAAGAGCACCCAGATCTCCTCTAGCCCTAATTCTGATCCCATGATCCAACCCAGGAACCAGAGAGTCAAATAACAAATGGAAGAGTGCAAGGCGTGTACGTACCCAGAGATCTGGGGGTCTTCTCCCGAGGCCCACGCTCCCGGACCAATCTTAAAAGAATGGGGGAGAAAAAAGCACCATGAGAGACGGCAAGCAAGAGCTAGCTCCCAGGCTACCTCCAGGATGGGGTGACAGATGAGAGGGGGATGAGACAGAGGGGGCCATGGGTGCCCCTGTAAAGAGGCTCTTGGCCAGGTGTTCAAGGCAGCAGGAGATGCAGCTCCTTCTGGACTTGAGGGCAGGCTGACCAGCAGGCTTGGCCCAGACAAAACTCAGAGCCCTGTTTTCTGACTGCATAGACCATTGATTCCCCAGGAAGCCAGCCTCCATGAGTAAACCGCTCAGTCCAACAGGAAGCCCTGCCCCTGCTGTGTGCACAGGAGATGGGGGTGAATCTCCTCCCAGCTCAGGACAGACTGACTTCAAGTCCTCTCCCAACCCATGAGAGCTCGAGGACCCACTCCTTCTCCCCACCAGGGTCTAGAGGGAATGACCCCCTTTGCTGCTGAGGGGAAATCACCACTGCTTTATAGGAGACGTTCTGTTCAAACTGAGCACAGGAAGGGAAGATGAGGCATTCCTGGCACTGGTTTTAATGGCAGTTTTTAAAATAAACAGTACTATTTACTCATTCCTGTGTGCATGTTGTTGCTTCAGCCATGTCCAGTTCTTTGCAGCCCCATGGACTGTAGCCTGCCAGGCTCCTCTGTCTATGGGATTCTCCAGGCAATAACACTGGAGTGGGTTACCATACCCTATTGAAGATGTACTATGTGCAAAGCACTGTGTAGACACTGGGAATACAGCATCACTAAGACAGGTGGTGATGCATTCATGGGCCTTACATTCCCAGGAAGAGCAGATATACATTATCTAACATGGACTTCTCTTATCTCACTGGGAAATGCATAGACAGCAGAAGGCTCTGGGGGGGCTGACAGGGGTGACAAGTCACAACATGAGAACTGGGACACGACATCCTGTGCTCTGGCTTCAGAGTATTCACCCAGCAGGATGACCCAGGCTGGGATGGCCAGAGGACAGGCCACAAGAGAGCCCACTTGAGTGCCTGCCCAGATATAGGGACTTCTAATGAGGGGACCGTGGAGATCAGGGGACCAGAGGTCTACAGGAAGGGCCAGAGCCTGGGCCAACCAAGACTCAGAGTTGCTCCCTGGGACAGACACAGCTTCCTAGATCAGGACCCAGAGGGAGGGCTTGTGTGTCTTGGAGACCGTAGGCAACCACTCCAGGGCTCTAGGTCTTTGCCCATTGGAACCCACCACTAGGTCTTTGTCATTGGAACCCACTACTGCCCAGCTGTACTAACAGGGCTGGGGGCAGAGGTGAGCTGGGAAGTCCCTTTGGTGGTTCTGGCTAGGCATGGAGTGGGCATGGGGCACTGATAATCCTGGTGCTGCTTCCTCCCTCAGATCCGGCCGCCTCTGGCCCCTGGCCCACAGCCTCGCCCCTTTGACCTATAGTTGGAGGCTGTTTTCCCTTCCCTTCTGAGCAAAGGATGTGGCCTCAGAGCACGTGGCTCAGTCTCCTTCAAGCTGTGGACCTTGGCAAACCTCTCCTTCCCTTCTCTAGAGACCCATTAGCAGAAAGGACAGAGGCCAAAGTCACCCACACCCAGAGAGCCTTCACTTTTCTCCACACAGCATTCCAGCCCCTCCTCCCTCTTCTGAACCGCCACCATGACCTGAGGTGGTCCCACCAGGCCGCACGAAAATGATGGGAACAGCAAAGTTCTACCTGCATCGACAGTCTTCTCTATGCACCTGGCCAGACATCTAAGCATCTACCAGTGTCCCCAGCAGCACAAGTTGAACCCATTCACGAGTGACCACCCCACTGCCACAAAGCCTGCCTCTCCTCCTAATTCCTTGTCCTGGTGAAGCCACCACCATCTGTCTGGCTGTTTATCCAGTAACTCTGGCATGGGCCTCAGCTCACTACCTGCTTCATCCCACAGCCATCCAGTCACCAACCCCCTCCCCCACTTCTTCACTTTTCGGGCCCCTCTGCACACTGACCACTGCAGACCAGGGCCCCACAGCCTCTGCCCATTCAGGCACCCACGGCTTCTTCCCTGGATCCCTGAGGCAACCCCCAACAGTGTGCACAGCCCATGCCACACGGCCGTAGCCAAAGTGGCCTTCCTAAATCAGATCTGACATCACTTCACACCAAAAAGCCTCCAGTGGCACCTCACTGCTTCAGGGTAAAGCTCACACTCCTCAGTTTAGCAGATGGGCCCTTCAGCCCTGCGTATCTCACCCCGGTCACACAGAGATACAGCGCTGCTGGAAAACTAGCCCCGCCCCAAACGCCTCAGTCACTCTTCCTTCCCTGCTCTCCCTGGGCTCCGTCTCACAGACCCCGCCTCAGCCTTCAAAACTCAGCTCAGGCCTCGCCTTCTCTGAGAAGTCTTCCCAGCCTGATCGAGATCATTTTCCACAGCACTCCTCAGAATGAGAGGCAGCCTTCTATCTTAGCGTTTACCTCACTGAACTTTTAGTCAATGGTCTACTAGTAAATATCTCATGAGCTCCCAGAACACAGAGAATATCTTGCTTGGCTTTGCTTTACTGACACCTGATACAAAGTCTGGCACAGAGAGGTTCTTAACAGCTTTTAGGTGAGTCAATGGATGCCTGGACACATGGACAGATAGACAGATGAAAGGATGGATGAAATGGTAAGGGAAGCTCCCTTCCAGCTGTTGGCTAGCCTCCCAGGGTCAATGGAGAGAAATCCATGTCACAACCTGACAGCAAGTAGGCAGATACTTCAGATAGTTATCTGCCTAATCCATGCATGACTAATCCATGGCAGTTAACATGGGCGCTTGACACCATGGGAGCCACAGAAATGTCCAGATATAGCCCCTGCCTTATAGTGCTGCAAGTTCAAGAATAGAAATGAAGTTGAAATAAAAGGTGAGCAAATAAGTAGGTGGGAGGTGGCTGGACAGCACATAGGCTGGGTGTTGTGTGAACAGAGCCCTTCCCCTCATCCCAAGGAGGCCAGGGAAGACCTGACAGAGAGGGTGGACGTGGAGCTGGGGCTTGAAAAATGTAGGCACTGATCAGCAGGCCAAGGATAAGAGGCTCACTTGGGGCTGCAGGGAGGTGCCATCCAGGGCTGGACACGGGTATGAGGGGGCAGGGGGCGGGATTCCGCTCATGCTCCCACAGAGCAGCACAGGAGGAAGTGTGAAGTGGTGGACTAGGACACCCTGAATGTCTGGCCAAGGAGACTCCTGTTTAAGCTGCTGGCACCAGAAAGTCAATAGAAGTGAGGTGCATGGAAGGGGTGTATTCGGGGAGTGGGGGGGTGGATGAAAATAAAAGATCAGGATGGAGAGCTCAGGGCCACAAGGAGATGGGGTAGGAGCTCCAGGAGGAGGTTAAAAGGGAGCCAGTAAGTGCAAACTAAGAGCAAAGGCAGGGGCAAGCAGGGTTGGTAGCTTTCGTATTGTCTATAGTTGTTTAAGAAAGCCCTCATGGGATGTGGCAATCTGTCAGGAACAGGAGGCAAGAGTTAAAAATGATGCTGAAATTGGAAGATCAAAGAGCACTCCTGCACCCCAGTGGAAATTGGGAGGTCATGGGAGAGAGACAGTTAGGGGAAACACGAAGAGCTCCATCCGTGATTCTGTGGTGGTGGTATATCCTCCCTCCCTCCTTCCCTCCAACACTCCATCTGCATCAGCCTTGAGGGCCCTGGGAATGCTCAACAGGAGGAGGGAAGCCCAGGGGATGTGGAAGTTTTCCATCACACTTGACCTTGGAAGCCACCTGCAGATAAGACTCCCAGGAGAGAACAAGGAGATGGAGGTGAAGAGTTCTGGAATGTATTTAAGAAATAAGGAAAGAAGGCACACAGGAGACTGGAAGTCAGGAAGGTGAGGAAGGCAAAGAATTCAAGGATATCAACAGCTCAAACAATACCAAAAAGTCAAGAGCAGTGGGATAGGTAGAAAGGTCACTTATCTGGGGCCAGAGAGTCATGAAAGCCACCAAGAACTCTCAGAGGGGAGGAAGAGGAAGAGCAGGAAAGGAGGAGGCGGTCTCGATGGTAAGAAGGTAGAGGTCGGTGGAGGAAGAGGTTGATAGAAAAATTGAGCAGAGAGCTTAAATCCAGGAGCAGGTCCGCAGATGGGTTCCCACACTCCACCAGGTACAATAATGTATGGACATGTATTTGGACAGAAGGGGAGGCAATGTGGGAGACAGGACGCTTGAGAGAAATGGGTACAACAGACCCCAGAAAGAGGGCTCTCTCTCCTTCTCCCTGTCTATCTCTATCTCTCCCTCTCTCTCAAACACACACACACACACACACACACACACACACACACACACACACCCCTCCAACATCAGTCTGGTCTGACTATGGGGATGATCTTGGCCATATAGAAAGTACTGTCTGTCCCACTTACAAGCCGTAAGTCCAGATTCATTACAACACAGAGATCCTCTACTCACTGATTCCCAGTTTTTTGGAGTATGAAGACCCCTTTTTAAGTCCAAGACTTTTGTAGACTACCACCCCCTCCACCGTACATAGACACAATAATGCTTGCATTTTTAGTGTCCATTCATTAAGAAAATGCACCATCACAAAGAGCTATCATGAATCCAATAGCACTTTAAAATTACTCATACTCTATTCATCAGGGCAGCAACCACACTTATCAGGACACTGGTAGAAGGCAGAGGTCAAGACATTGCTAATTAAGCCTATACACCCCTCCTTGCTGGAGTCAAGGGTCAGCTCTGTGACTGCCCCAAGCCAGAGGCTCATGGTGGAGGACACTGCCCTCCACACATCTGGCCCCCAGAGCTCTGCCCTGGTGTGGAGACCCAGTCATAGAGAGTCCAAGCAGATCTTGGAGGGTAGAGGAGGGAGGACCACAAGATAGTTTTGATTTAGGGCTGCTTACCGTGTGGTGGGGGGCCTCAGGCCCGTGAGGATGTCCTGGCCTAGAGGCAAGAGGCTGGGAAGGGAGCCAGGTGTGGAGGAGGTCCCAGCAGGCACCTTGGTCTTTGGGATGGGTGGGATCACAATGCCCCCCAGGGACTTGTGCATCTTCTCATCATTGCAGTGCAAGTACTGTTTGGAAATCTGTACCTGGGAGCAGAGGTGAGGGAGGGGTCTGGTCCATGAAACAGTCCACTCGGGAAGCTCACCTCCCAGGTGCCTCGCGCAGAGTGGTCCCTTCTACCTGCAGCACTGGTAGGTATCCTGTTTCTCTTTCCAGTAACACAACCCTGGGACCCCTGAGCTCATAATTTCCTTACCATTTAAACGAAAAGGGGGTCCTCTCATTCCTACTCCAACCCCTTTTGTCATTATTATTAGCTGTTTTTCTGTTCTCACTTCAGAAAATCCTAGAACATCAGAGCTGAAAGGGATCCTCAAAAACATCAGGTCCAATTCCCTTTTCTTAGTGCATGAGGCCCAGAGAGGGAAGTGACTTGCCCAAGGTCACACAGCCAGTGACGGGCAGAGTGGAAACCAGAACCTAAATCTCCTGAGTCTTAACCCAGTATTCTTTCCCCTCTGCCACAGTCCTTTGCCAAAAGTGAGGAGGGTCAGAACCATAAGAAATTCTGGAACATTTAGATCAGAGAAGGCTTGAGAACCATCACATGTAAGATGGATGGTCACACAGCCTCTGCTGAGGAGCTGGTTCAGTACCTCTGGGACAACTGCCAGAGAAGATACCTTCAGAGATGCTCAGGGACCAGGAACAGGGATTGGTAACAGAAGGATGGGAGGCAAGACTTAGAGCAGTCCAACTGCCTTACCTCCTGGGCACCGGGTCTCAGCTCCTGGGGACCCTGACAGCTTGTGGGCGGGCCCAGGCCCTTCTCCTTGGCTCCGCTGGCTTCTGGGGTGGTGGGGATGCTCTGAATGGGTGGCATTGGCCTGGACACCCTCAGCAGCCTCTGAGATGTGGCCCGGGGGATGGCAGTCCGCAGGGGAACTCCTTTGGGGCCTCCGCCGGGATCCAGAGTGGCTGTGTGGGGTGGGGATGGGGAGTAAGTGAGTCCCCGGAGTGTGTGGAGTGGAGTTGATTGAGTTGCTGGCAATAGGGCCTTATGTCCTCTGGAGGTTAGGATGGCGAGAGGAGGGGACAGATGTTCCCCCAGCCCCAAGCCCACCCCTAGACTGTGCTGAGTGTCCTTTCCCACTCCTGTAAAATTTGGTAGAAAGTGTCAAACTCATCTGTTTAAAATTCAGAATAAATTAATTAAATAATTAAAATTCAGAGGCAGGTTGGATAGAAAGGGGAACAAAATCAGTACTGACTTAGGAGGGAGGGCAGAGGGTTCTAGTTCTTATATCCACCTGAAAGCCACTGGGTGGCTTTAGCATAGTTGGCAGAAGTGGGAGGAAGAAGGTGGTCAGATCTGTGTTCGAAAAGAATTCCTCTGCAGTGAAGACTAGAAGGAGGCGAGGGTGGGAATGGGGGGGTCCGGTTGGGAGCCGCTGCAGAGGCCCAAGTGGGAGACGGCATTCCAGGGAGGAGGCAGGGGCTGTAGAGAGCGTGCCCCCCTGACCACCTCTGACCCCTACTGACTCACAGTCCAGGTGGCCTGGGGCCCCTGACCTTAGGGTTGGGGGCTGCGCAGGACCCAGGGCTCACCGCGGGAAGATGCTGCCAAGCCTTCCGAGAGTCTCCTTTTCTTGAGCTTGTCCTTGATCTGGGTGGTGTCCCGGGCCACACTGTTGGCCTCTGACTCCAGCGAGGGGAGTGGCACCAGTGGGTGGGGACCCGGAGACAGAGCCGCGAGGTTCCTGGGGTGGCCGTTCCTGGCCTGCCAGCCCTTCAGGGGAGCATCCAGCTTGAGGCTGCCAGGGTCTCCATGTCCACTCAAGAGCTGTGACGGCTTCTCCAGGAGGGCGCTGGGCACTGGCTGGAGGGAGGCTGAGGGAGGCAGAGACAAGAATTACTATGCTAGAGGAGCCCACTCCCCCCCCCCCCACTTCCCTGGGTGCTAACACCACCCAGGCCCTGGGACCTCAGCTCTGCCTTCTTGGGCTCACGGGGCCTTCCTGCGGTTCCTAGGAGAGCCCCACTTTCCTGTTCCAGTGGGAGCCCTCCATACACCTCCATCCTTTGAGGCAGAGAATTGAAAAGTGAAGTGAAGTGAAGTGAAGTGAAGTGAAGTTGCTGAGTCATGCCCGACTCTTTGCGACCCCATGGACTTTAGCCTACAAGGCTCCTCTGTCCATGGAATTTTCCAGGCAAGAGTACTGGAGTGGGTTGCCACTTCCTTCTCCAGGGCATCTTCCTGACCCAGGGATCGAACCCAGGTCTCCTGCATTGCAGGCGGACACTTTACTGTCTGAGCCACCGGGAAGCCCAAGGACCCACCTAAAACAAAGGATGTGTCCAGCAGGGACCAGGGTAAGATTAACACCTGCCCATGGCTTGAAGACACAGTCAGGCATCTAAACACACCCATCTCCTCCCTCCAGGATGAGGTCCAAGCTCTGCTCTGTGGTCACTGACCCTGTCTGCGTGGCTGCCAGGTAGAATGGCCCATCTCTGTCCCAAGGCCCCAGAGAGGCTGCCGGGACACTCGAAGGCCATTTGATGTGATGGGGTCACCAGGCCCGTCCCCCTATCTCACCTTCTCCAAAAGTCTTCAGGCTGGAGTCACTGCTTCCACCCGGGAGAGCAAGGGGCCCAGCACTGCTCTGGGGAACGCTGCCACAGTACACAGCCACGGGAGCCGGAACTTTGGCTGGTGACAGAAAGGGAGGGAGAGCAGTGTCTTAGAGTCCACTAAGGCCGGGATAGAGGGCAGACGGCCCCAGGCCCTCTGGGACCCATCCCCCAAATCAGAGCCTTGCCCTCAGGTAGGGACTTGCCACCCCGACCCCAGCCGGCCAGGGCACCATGGTCCCCACCAAAGCCCACTTCCCAGCCCTCTCCGCGTGACTTCTCCCAGCTTTGCTCCAAACCCTCCCCACACTCTACCTTCTCAGCCTCCTTCGTGGGCTCCCCGGTCCTCGGCCCTGAGCACAGTGGCCTGTTCCCTGAACTGCTCAGGCATTCCCAGTTCTCCACACTCCTCCCAAGGAGCCTCCAGGCCCCTGCAGAGGCCGCTCCCAGGAGCAGCAGCTCCACCTCACAAGCACCCATTCCCCTCCAGGCGGGACCTCTGCCTCCCTCACCCTCTAGAGGAAACGGGCTCACACGGCTGGCTCCCAGCAGCAGCGCCAGGCCTGGAACGCTGTTTCCTGATACAGACTTGGCCACACTGTCTCCTGCCCTGTCAGCTGAGGAAAACGGGGCCACCCAGCCCTCCCATGGACCCACTCCTGCATTCTTGGCCCGTCTTCATTTTCCCACTACAGAACTCTACCCTCAGTCAGCCTATCAGCTCAGAGAGTGGAGGCAAAGCCCCGGTTGAGGAATCTGGAGCCAGATAGGGAGCCCCCCACAGGAGGCTGAGCAGGGAGGCCCCACAGAGAGCCTGGCCCAGATGGAAAGGCATGGCAGCCTGACCACATCTCCCAAGCAGAGTCCGTGGGAGTATCCAAGGAAGATCCCCACCCCAACAACATTCCTTGGGGCCCCTTACCAGGGGGTACATCGTCACGGGTGCCCATGCCCTGGGTGGAGGAGGCTCTTGGGGGTTTGTCCAGAGGCAGCAGCTACTTTCTGGGCTGTGAGCACTATCCTCAAGCATCCAGAGGATTCCAACCTATAACATCCAGGGACGTATGATGGAGAGAGGCAGAGAGAACCAGTACAAATCACAAACTCTTTTTAAACCGCTTTGTGGGAAGCCCACCAGAAGCTAAAACATTCTTTCTTCTTTTTTTTTTTTAAGAGCTTAAAAAATGTTATTTCTTTTTGACTACACCGGGTCTTTATTGTTGTGTGGGGTTTTCACTAGTTGTGGCAAGCAGAGACTATTCTCTAGTTGTGGTGCACGGACTTCTCATTCCTTGGCTTCTTTTGTCTCAGAGCACAGGCTCTAGGCATTGGGGCTTCAGTAGTTGTGTTACATGCACTTAATAGTTGCAGCTACCAGACGCTAGAGCACAGGCTCAATAGCTGTGGCCCAGGGACTTAGTTGCTCCTAAACATGTAGAATCTTCCCAGATCAGGGATTGAAACTGTGTCTCCTGCATTGACAGGTGGTTTCTTTACCACTGAGCCACCAGAGAAGCCCTTAAAGCATTCTTGTAGTAAAGAAATCTGCCACTGGCTTCCCAGGTGGTGCTAGTAGTAAAGAACTCACCTGCCAATGCAAGAGATGTAGAGACATGGGTTCAATCCCTAGGTCAGGAAGATGCCCTGGAGGAGGGCATGGCAACCTGGTCCAGTATTCTTGCCTGGAGAATCCCATGGAGAGAGGAGCCTGGTTGGCTATCGTCCATAGGGTTGCAAAGAGTCGGGCATGATTGAAGCGACTTAGTACTTGTCATGGACCAAAAGGGACTTTTAACATTCAGACTCTCTTGGACACTTTAAAGTTTCCAAGTCCCCAGGTTGCATAACTGTTGAGTTCAGTTCAGTTGCTCAGTTGTGTCTGACTCCTTGCAACCCCATGGACTGCAGCACACCAAGTTTCCCTGTCCATCACCAACTCCCGGAGCTTGCTCAAACTCAGGTCTATCAAGTTGGATGGTTGATGCCATCCAACCATCTCATCCTCTGTCATCCCCTTCTCCTCCTGCCTTCAATCTTTCCTGGCATCAGGGTCTTTTCCAATGAGTCACTTCTTCTCATCATGTAGCCAAAGTATTGGAGTTTCAGTTTCAGCATCAGTCCTTCCAATAAATATTCAGGACTGATTTCCTTTAGGATGGACTGGTTTGATCTACTTGCAGTCCAAGGGACTCTCAAGACTGCATGACTGCAGACAGTCCATTATGTAGACAGTCCATGTAGACAGTCTGCATGACTGTAGACAGTCCATTATGAAGAGTGTCGGTGAAACACATGAACCCAGCTTTGCTAGTGGCTTTGGTGTTGACACGGTCACCTCAGGGTCTTGGGAAAGGTTGAGCTTATCAAGGGGGAGTCTGACACTGCCTTTCCCTACAAGTTTCTACTTTCCTCATTACTCTGGTAGCTGCCCTGGAAGCTCATGCTGAGTCAAGCTTTGCAACCCCTCTTTCCACTCAAGGATGCAGCAGGGGACTCTGCAGAGACTAACTCCCTTGCTTTTTCTCAGGCACACCGGTCTTCTTCTGCATGAAGTTCCTGGCCCTCATTCTCACTTTGTTGAGCAAGCCAACCTCAGACACTCCCAGCCATCTCATTGTCCTGAGCTGACCGCTTGACCCCTCCAGGCCTCTTTCCAGCCTCCCTTAACCCTCTGGGGCCAGTCATCCATTCCTGCCCTTGACCTGACTTCATTCTTTTCCCATGTAATAAAGGTCTCGCCGCAGACTCTGCAAGTTCACTCAGTTTTATAAATTCTCTGCTGATATCATAGTGACCCATTTCCAACCTGACAGGTAGGGATGAATGACCAGAGATGATCAGTGATAAAATCAGGACAAAGGCTGCACCTTCCAAATCCTCCAGTTTCTGCCCCAGAGTAGGTCCCTTGAGATACCACCTAGGGACAGGGCAGAAGGCAATGCCAGACTTTTTTTGCTGAGCAAAAAATCCTAACCCAGGAACTGAAAACATCTGCCTTCTGTCTGGAAGCCGGCCCAACATGTCCCCACCCAGACCCCAGCAGGCAGAGCAGCTCCTAGCAACCCTCCTGGCCAAAGAGAGGTTCTGGACCAGCCTCTGAGGTCATGCTGATTACAGCCTCCAGCCACTCGATTCTCTGAGGAGAATTTTCCTCAAAATCAGAGGAGAAGGCAACTGCCTGTCATGGTAGTGACAAGCAGCCCAGAAGAGCTGAAAGACACGGCCCTTCTCCAGAGCAACAGGGAGGGAGATTTTATTCCACGGGTCCCAACACCCTACCTCTCGCCTCTCTGAGTGAGAAAGACTCAAGAATTTGTCAAGATGGCTGCTTCCAGAAAAACCCAGAAGGAACATTCCTTGGGGGACAGATTGAATTAAAGTAAACAAGCTGGAGTCCAGGCTCTGGATGCCACAGACTCCTGCCACCTGTATCTAACCAGAGTGCAGACTTTCTGTGCGAATCACATGTGGAAACATGGTGTTTAGCTACAGCCTTGCTCTCAATCTCAGCTGCAGATCAAAATCTCCTGCAAACTGATCAGAAGGACAGATTCCAAGGCGGCAGCCAGGCATCCACAGAAGCAGACTCTTCCAGGGAACAGCCACAGGGCTTTGTCTAGTTAATTCTCTTCCCTTAACTCCTGAGTGCCTCTGATGTTCACACAGGCTTGAGAACCACTGGGCTGTAGTCCAGACTCCCTGTGTAAGAAGACCCCAGCCCTGATTCTGACCTTAGGCTATCAAAGTGGATATACTGTCTCAGTCTCCCCATAGTAATCATGTTTATGAAGCTAAAGAGAAGATTTGGAGCTGCCTGAGGGTCCAGACATGTAAGGTTCAACAGCACCTTCTGAGCAAGACTGCCCCCATCCCTTCCCCACTGCCTCCCCAGCAGACCAGGATGGCCCAGCTTCCTCCACGCTCTGAGGGACACCAACAGTATGGAAGGGAACGCCGAGTGCACTCCATGGCTTGCCCAGGCAACCCAGCAGACAGAGACCCTTTCAGGCCTCCCCTCTCCTACGTTCAAACTTTGACCCCTCAGGCCCTCAGAGTCTACATGCTGGCCTCCTCAGTGCCTGCCAATGGAAGGTGCCTACACCTGTGTACAGACAACCATGTCTTCTGTTAGGACAGTGGGTGGTGCCTCCCCAAGGCCTGGTGGAAGGTTAAAGATCTACGCCCAAACTATAAAAACCAGAATCAGATATCCCAGCCCAAATGAGGACAAAGCTTTGGGTTTGGCATGGACAGTACTTAGGGCTGACCTCTGAGGCACAATCCACTGAGCCCTTGTTTGACCCATCACTGTCCTGGGCATCAAGGAGTGACTGTCCCCTGATGGGAAAACCAGTCCCTGACCTAAAGTGATACAGTGAGGGGGTTCTGGGGACCAGGGTTCCCTCCTCACCCTCTGATGCTCTGAATTGCCCAAGGTGGCTGGCTCCTCCATCCTCAGTCTCAGAGTCCCCACTCAGGAAATGGAGTGACCCAAGGTAATTGACCATTGTCCACTCCTTCCACTAAAACTATGGCTAAAGAGTTTCCATGGTGACCAGCACCGCAGGAATGAAGAAAGGTGACTGAAGGGGACTCAGGTTTCAAGTCGAAAGGGAACAAGCAGGTACTGTCCCAGGAAAGAATGTCATCAGCCCCAAGGACAAAGTCCCCACCATCCTGTGCCTCGGCTCGCACAGCCCACAGGGTCCACCTTGCTCCGGAGGGAGCTGGGCAGAGTCTGGTCCTCAAATGAACAGTCCTCAGGCAGGAGGGCAAGGCTCTGAGGAGGGAGGAAGGGTCAGCACAGGGGGACTGGGATGGGGTTGGCCCCCAATCCTGGGACATGGGTTCCAGTAAGTCAGAGAGCTCACCTGCTCAGATGTGTTTGATGGGAATGAAAGTGCCATGTTGGGGAGAGGAGAAGGGAAAGATGACTGACTCACCAAACCTAGAGTTTGAACCCAAAATATGTCCTCGCTGAAACATTCACTGGAGAGGGGCCTTGGGGGTAAGCAGCCCTTCCACCCCAGGCTGCCCTGAACACCCACCTCGGGATTCTTAGAACTCTGCTTTGAGGTTGACACAGGGAGGCTGGGACCCTGCCCTGGCCCTCTTGAATGAACCTGGGCAGGTTATTTAATTCCTCTGAGCTTTGATTTCTTCATCTGAAAAAGTGTTCTAACAAAGGATTTTGTTAGGATTCAGTGAAGTCATGTACAAACATAATTTAGTACCATGGCTGGTAGGCAATCACTAATGTCAAGTATTAGCTCTTCCTCTCCCTCCCCAACCCTGCATGTAAACACACATGCACAAACGTGCAAATCCACGCTATCTTTAAAGTTATCAGGGTCAGCCCTCCTTTCCTTCAAGACAGACCCAGTGACACAGGCACCACTCACAAGGAAGAGACAGACACGTCTACAGAATAAGAGGCTCAAATTAGATGAGTCTCCAGCTATTTTCATGGTGAGTCTATACTGCCCAGGGAATGCTTGCTGCAACACCTGGAGAACCTAATCCATCCTGGTCCCACGTGGGGAGGGGCACATGGGGAAAGCCTCAGTGCCATGTGACTAGACACCCAGAGACCCTCCGTGGAAAAGCTGCATCCTCAGTGGGCTGGGAAGGAAGTAGGACCTAGATAGGCAGGGAAGTAGGAAAGGCAATCCAGACTCAGGAAACCCTGAGCAAAGGCGCGGAGGACTGAACAGGCCCATGAGTTTAGTGTTTGCCGGGAGAGCCCAAGTCTAGGCAGGTAGTCGAGGGCCGGTACCTGCACAGCTCTGTCAAGTCTGGGCTTGTTCTGCAGGCAAAGGGAGCTCTAAGGATTTCTAGCAGAGAAATGACATCATCTAACCTGTGTTTTCATGCAGACCCCTCAATGGGGACCCAGGACGAACTTTCCTAGGGAAGGAAGTTTTTGACAAAATTTTAGGACCCAAGCAGA